TAACATGGAGTGCCGCATCAAGGAACACGAAAGAGACGTCCGACTAAGGAAGATCCAACAATCTGTAGTCGCAGAGCATTGCCACAAAGGAGGACACAGCATAGAGTTCGAAAAAACCAAAGTGCTAGCAAGAAACGGACATTACTTCCAAAGATTGACGAGAGAGGCGATAGAGATTCATCGACATGGGAATAACATGAATAGAGAAGATGGCTGGGAACTCAGCCGCACATGGAAGATGTTGGTGAACTCAACGAAGCCTTCTCCACCCGGATTTGACAAAACAACTTAGTTGACAATTAGACACTAATTAGTTATTAATTACCTTTTAATGAATTTATTGCCAAATTTTAAACGAATTCGTCACTTCGAACTTGTTTCTGAAAAAGGTTGCAGCATGGCATCCGAAACATCAAACATTTTTTTCAAAAAGCGCACGGCTTAACCCGAAAGATTCTAGTTCTAGGTCTAGTGTTAGTTCTAGTTTTAGTTTAAATAAAACATAATTCTTTATTTCACTCTTATATTTAGAAATCACAAAATATTGGAAAAGATGCCGTAAAAGCTGAAAAACCGGATAACAGTTTATTGGTTTGTGAAGACATCACTAATCAAGAATGACCCTGACAGGGTACCAACACCATCATTGAAACAATTGAGTCAAGCCTATACAAAAAATATTCACTTAAGCGAAACACCTGTTAAGAAGAAAATATCTAGCAATAGAACTTTCTGTGAGTCTCCTATTAGACAAAAAAATGTTAGTAATATACTTGCTGTGACTAAAGTAGTTGACGCTTTAAAAAAAATTTCACAGCAAGTCAATACACCTTAACCTACCTGCGATGAGTTTGAAGAATTTGGGAAAACTATTACTGCCCACCTACGACAACTTCCATTAAACAAAGTCTTGGAAAGTCAGGCTGAAATTCTTAATTATTTAGTAAAACAAAGACTAAATCAGCCAAGTTCGTTTTTTATGGAAGATTCATCTACCGCTTTTGGGTTAGGAACAGAAGGCACAACTTATGATAACATATAACACTGGGCGACTAATATGGGAAGCAGTGAATGATGCAGACTTAAATTTATAAATATATCTATCTGAATCATGAAGAAAAGTTGTAATAAAGTAGTAGTCAATAAAGATGTTTTTCTTATTANACATTACTTCCAAAGATTGACGAGAGAGGCGATAGAGATTCATCGACATGGGAATAACATGAATAGAGAAGATGGCTGGGAACTCAGCCGCACATGGAAGATGTTGGTGAACTCAACGAAGCCTTCTCCACCCTATCACTAATCAAGAATGACCCTGACAGGGTACCAACATCATCATTGAAACAATTGAGTCAAGGCTATACAAAAAATATTCACTTAAGCGAAACACCTGTTAAAAAGAAAATATCTAGCAATAAAACTTTCTGTGAGTCTCCTATTAGAAAGAAATATACTTAGTTAGTAAGTATATTAGTAGTAGTAGTTAGTAATATACTTGCTGTGACTAAAGCAGTTGACGCTTTAAAAAAAATTTCACAGCAAGTCAATACACCTCAACCTACCTGCGATGAGTTTGAAGCATTTGGGAAAACTATTGCTGCCCACCTACGACAACTTCCATTAAACAAAGCCTTGGAAAGTCAGGCTGAAATTCTTAATTATTTAGTAAAACAAAGACTAAATCAGCCAAGTTCACTGTCAGCATCCCATCAGCTTCAAAATTCAAATAGGTGTTCGTTTTTTATGGAAGATTCATCTCCCGCTTTTGGTTAGGAACAGAAGGCACAACTTATGATAACATATAACACTGGGCGACTAATATGGGAAGCAATGAATGATGCAGACTTAAATTTATAAATATATCTATCTGAATCATGAAGAAAAGTTGTAATAAAGTAGTAGTCAATAAAGATGTTTTTCTTATTAATTACCAGAAGTATTAATGAAAAATCAAACCTACTTTTAAATAATCCTTTAAAGCTTCGTAAATAGCATCAAGCACTTCACATATAAATTTAGAAATTGTGCTTTTTGGCAAACGATACATATATTGCAAGGATGTAAAAGAATCTCCAGAGGCCAAAAATCTTAAAGTTGCTTACAGTTTTACGTGAGCTAGAACGGCATCTCTCATATGCGTATGTTGTTTTTGAATTTTAGAGGATACTTGCCTCAATAAAAACATGAAACTCTCTTCAGTCATTCTTAAATGATTAAAAAATGCTTCCTGATCTTCATGGCATAATTCTCTAAATAAAGTATTAGACGCACCTAGATTATTTCTACGTACAATCCACGATCTAACCAAGCAACTATGTTTTCGCTTTTTTTGTTAATAACGTGTGCAGTTCCAAGGAGCACATTTGGACTACATTGATGCCAGCGCGAAGTACATCACTTGACGCCATTGTTATTACTGCCAATTTACTGTGGCAGTACACAATTATGACATTTATGTGGAAACAACTTCTGGCGCCAGCTAATAGGCGCCACTAAACTGGCGCCAGTTTAGTTGCATGTGGAAATAGCAAAAATCCATTAGCGCCAATAAAATGGCACCGGTAATCAAAACGCCAATAAACGTGCAACTGTATCAACGTCCAAAAAATCGTCCAAAATATGGACATCACAACAAATAATACAGTTTTTGGAAATATATCAAGAATGCCCGTGTTTGTGGAATCATAAATTCCAGAACATAAAGACCGAACTGCAAGAAATAAAGCCTTAAGTAAGATAGTTGAGATTATGTCGAAAACAATTCCCAATTTTGACGAAAACTCGGCAAAGGCAAAAATACGAAGTATCCGCAAGGTTTTAAATTAGTGCAGAAGTGGAGCATCAGCTGACGATGTGAATAATTATGACACAATAATATGTATAATTATGTATATTCATGACACAGTTCTCTATTAAAGTGCTTGATGCACCTAGGTAATTTCTACGTGCAATTCACGATCGAACCCAGCAGCTTTGTTTTCGTTTTTTTTTTTGTTAATAGTTCCAGGGAGCACGTCTGCAATACCACATTGATGCCAGCACGAAGTACAACGTCCTGAAAACACTACTCTTCGCAGACGATCAAATAATTTTTGCTACATCAGAAGATAACCTTCAAAAAGCCGTATAATAAGCCTGCTCAATAGTAGTGATGGAACAGATAGTGATTTTGCGAAAAGCCGGATATTCGGCATCCTCTTCGGCCGGATATCCGATTATCCGGCATATCTATCCAGTCATTATGGTTATAATTTCTAGTGCCACATTTCATATTGCCACCTTATTGCGATATTTGAATAAAAATGAAAATAAGAAAGCTGATAAGATATGTCAACTAAATTTGGATCCTAGATAAAAAATGAACTTTTTTGATGCTGATTTAACTAACGAGGCAACTCTAAAAAGAGGATACTTTAATTAATAGTTGACGATATTTCTTCAAGAAATGAATTTTATAGCGAATTTTGAAAGTATCGATGAAAATTGCAACATCGAAAATTGTATCAAAATTTTAAATATTGTTTTCTCAAAAAGTAAAAGTTATTTTTCAAAACGTGTTGGTTCATTGGAAAGAGGACACTTTTATTAACACTTTGGGAAATTTTCATACTCATATTCCAAGAAATGGATTATATACGAATTTTTGAAATTTAATTGGTGGAAATTGCAAAATTCGAAAAAATTGTCGATCATTTCAAAAATTTATTTCTCAAGAACTAAAAGCGATTTTTCAAAACGGTTTGCTGCATTAAAAAGAGGATACTTTAATTAATAATTGGTGATATTTCCATAAGGATCCTTCAAGAAATGAAATTTATGGCGAATTTTGAAAATTATCGATGAAAATTGTAACATCGAAAATTTTATCAAAACTTCAAATATTGTTTTCTCAAAAACTAAGAGTTATTTCTCAAAACCTGTTGGTTCATTGGAAAGAGGACACTTTTATTAACACTTTGGGAAATTTTCATACTCATATTCCAAGAACCGGATTTTATACGAATTTTTAAAACTTATTCGGCGAAAATTACAAAATTCAAAAAAATTGTCCTTCATTTCAAAAATTTATTTCTCAAGAACTGAAAGTGATTTTTCAAAACGGCTTTTTGCATTAAAAAGAGGATACTATAATTAACAATTGGTGATATTTCCACAAGGATTCTTCAAGAAATGAATTTTATAGTGAATTTTGAATGTTATCGATGAAAATTGCAACATCGAAAATATCAAAATTATTGTTCTGAGAACAGAACAAAACACTCAATAGAACAAGACGTGACAAGACGCTGCCCGTGTCACCGCGATGAAGATATTCCAGACATGTTTCAGATACATTTGTAAAGAAATGTTTCAAATGAAATGTTTCTGCTGCATATTTTGATGATATTTCATAAATATTCCTTCTGACATGTATTTGATACATAAACGTAGTTCTAAGATGTTTCATTTAATTCACTGTACGTTAAAATTTAAATGTTTCACAGATGTTTCTTGTTGGGTAGAAACACTCCGCCGTTCTTCAGAAACGAAAGATCCAGTTAGCCAATCCTTGGCGAACAGGCTGCACTTAACCAAGAACTCATGAATACCGTCGAAGCCCAAGATTTTCATCTTTTGAAGTGCGCTGGAGACTTCATCATGTATGACGAGTTTCGAAAAGTCGGCTCTTTAATAGCAAGCGGTGTTAATATCTCTCAACACCTGTCAGGTGTGGTCCTTTTTTTTGTTTGGCCAAAATGAGGGGCTCATCTTAATAATAAGTGAACTTTCGCCTAGCATCTTCAACAAGGGTCAGGCCTTTCTGCTTGAAATCCATATATTCTGTTGTTTAAGGCCATTTCTCTTTGCAGGAAACATCAAGAGTGAGAAGTATTTCATCAGCTAGTTTGTTTCATTTAAAGAATACCATCTAGGACTGCAAAAGGATCTTATTATTGGGATTTGGATAACCAAAAAAGTAACAAAAAGTTAATTATAGGAAACAAAATTCACGAATATAAAGTCATTGAAAATAACTACCTTTTATTTTAACATGTGAAATTAAAAACTTATAAATTATTTAACTATTTGGTATGGTTTCTAATCCTGGTGGGGGTCCTAACTTTGCGTCCCTTTCCAAAAACATTTTCTCCCCTTCCATTTGACTTCTTATAGTATCTTTATAAGCTTGCTCCCGTTTTTCTTTCCATCTATACTGCCAATATCTTACTTGATCCATAGACAGCCCAGTATATGATAAAATTCCATAAGTTACAGAACCAGCAACAGTTCCAAGAACTAAACCTTTTAATAAAACAAAGTTAAGATTTTCAATTTGATATTTATAGATAAGATTTTACCTAATCCTGATCCAACTAACCAAGCTCTTGGACCAGCTGAGAATTTATAAATAAATCCAGTTGTGGCGCCTGCAACCATATGCTCAAATATTCCATGTTTTCCTCTGTACACAGATATCATTGTGGATATAGCCCTAAAAAATTTTTTGTGATAAACTTTATTTCTATATTATTGTTTTATTTATACGTATAGGAAGTTGAAAATAATGTTAATCTCCAACTCCAATTATAGGCTCCTTTTGCAAAACTTAAAGTTACTTTCTCTTGAAGGAGTTTCTTAAAAACAAGTTTAATTAGATAGAGATATTACATTTAAAAATGATTAAAATTACTTTAGCATGTAGGTGATCCTTGAAAGCTGTCGCTTGATTATTTCGCATAAAATCCATGTATGCAGTTCTACTCGACATTACACCTCCATAAAGACCTCCGGTAAAAATACTCATACAACTTACCTGTACAATCGAACTCAGTTCAGGACTCATGGTATTAAATTCGCTAGAAAATAATAAAACTGCAATTAACGTTTAACAAATTCCAAGTGAACTAACTCGGCTTTAAATATTTTAATTAATCTGTCTAATCCCGTTTCATTTGAATCGATTTCATTTAGTTGTTCAGTTCTTGTTTTATTCACAACAGCATCCATGTCTTCAATACCGAAAAACGATAGAAGCGTTGCAAATTTACATCTTTTTAATAAAATTCGATTCATTTTATAGCTAAACTCGATTTTTTGAGGTTATATCATTAAATGTCACTTAAGATTGAGGTTATGTTATTAATCGCATTTATTAATAAAAATAAAACAAATATTTAAAAAAATATAAAATTTATTCGATGGCTTTGTCGTCTTTATCTACATAATTTTTAATGTTTATTAATTGAGATTGTGAATTAGATCTCGGTTATATCTAAAACTCGATTTTTTGAGGTTATATAATTAAATGTCACTTAAGATTGAGGTTATGTTATTAATCAAATTTATTAATAAAAATAAAACAAATATTTAAAAACATATAAAATTTATTCGATGGCTTTGTCGTTTTTATCTATATAATTTTTAATGTGTATTAAATAAGCGTCTTTAATGGTTCCACAAGGTGTGTTTGAGGTTAGGTCCACATAAGTTTCCAAAGGTTGATAAAAATCTCGCGTTAAGTCTCCATTCAACTGAAACTAAACGAATAATTTAAGTTATAATATTGCAAAGACTTTTGTGTTATATACCTCTTCAAAAGCTCTATAAACAGCTTGAAAAGCAGGTTGTTTTCCTGAATGAAAAACACCTCTTGAGCCATGCAAGACCACGATTCCTTCTTTCTCAACGTTTTTGCAATTATTCATGTACATACAGTGATCCGTGCGGAAATTATACCGACATGGATTTAAATACAGTTTGTCTACAATCAAAAACAAAATTGAGATTTTAACTCTTATTTTGTTGCTATTTTTATTACCCGGGTGAAAATGAAATATAATATTAATAATATCTTGATCACCAAAAGTTAATTGTAACTTATATTTTTTATAAATTGGTATAACATATTCAACCCAATGAAATTCCCTCATTTTAGTCAAGTTCATAAGCATAACACCTGAATTAACACCCATGGGGCCATAAAATGGGTGTCTAGCAAATCGATTGTACCACCCTATATTAGCCACTTCACTCTCAGGCACCAATGCAGCCATTTGAGTTGAATTCATGTGTGCGAAATGGTCCCAAAGTGTTTCAATTGGACTTAAAAACAACGTGTCTGAATCCACGTAAATTAAAGAGTCGATTTCGCCTAAAACAGACTTTAAGAACCATATTAATGATGTTTTAAATTCGATTTAAAAGCTTAATTACTGGAAAAAATAATCTTTGCGAAGCACAAGGCTTGAATAATATTCTCCATTCTTTTGTATCCCCCACAGGAAATTTTAAAGGCATTATTTTAAAGGTAAACTTCTTTAATGTCATTTCTTGCCATTGAGATAACTGGAAGGAAAAGACAATAAATGATTCATTAACACTTCCTTAACCCTCACTTTTTCAGCAAAGCTTTCGATTAGATCATCTTCTGTTAATATTACAAACATTATTTTGCTTTCACTAAACATGATAGCAGATTTTATCATGTTTAATGTTTCATACAGTCGATCCCCACATGCCACAACAGCCAAGACTATGTTTCTACAAGAAAATTAGTAAAAATTCAACCATAACCTTTAAAAAATTTTGTTATATTACCGCTCATTAATTAAACTTATATCACGTTGAGTTACATTATTATTATTCGAATAATTTACTTTGTAATGATAAATACTGTATATTAATACTAATAAAAGTACTGAGATAAACTTAAGACACTTGTGTTTCATTGTATACTTTTTCAAAACGAGTTAACAACGTTTAGTGCATAAAGTGCGTTTTAAATACATAACTAATCCCTTAAATATACGTTTAAAAACGGCTTAAAATAGATTATTTAGAATATTCATCGAAAAAAATCACAGCTTCAATATTAAAGTGGTAATCAATACTCATGGGGGAATTTTATGTTTCACTAGAATTAAATTTAACAATAAAAAAAGTGATTTCTTTTTAGTTTGAGTTAGGTTGGTATTACATTTTTAATCAAAAATAATTAAAAATAATTATCTTTTTATTAATTGTAAATGTATACTGAAAGATTCCCCAAAATATAGTTTCTTAATTCTGTATTTATAATAAAAAAATGTATAATTTTAATAAAAAACTTTATGTTAACTAGCTTCACACTGAACGCAATCAACGCGGGAAGAAGTAACTGTTTTAGATTAACGTCACTCCATACAAGCAAACTTGTCAAAAAAGGAGACCGTTTTATGATAATTCATTATTAAGAATAGTTAATTTAATTATTCGAAAATTTACAATAACATTTATAAACCTTTAATTTTATACGTTGTGTTCTAAACCGAAGTGAAGGTAGCTGTCGCGTCAGTAATGCATCGGAAACATTTTTACTTACTTAACCTTTTCTACTACTAAAAACAGGTAGACGCTAATTTAAAGTTTCTTTACTTATAATTAATATTATACCCCGTTGTTAATCATAAAAAATCAATTTCTATCATTTCTATCGTAATAATCAAATTTCAAAGAACATAACCTCACTTTTATATTCTCAAAAAAAAATTTAATGTTCCAGATTATTTTATTATGGAAATAAATGCTTCACCATTAAACTTATTAACCCGTAAAACTAAGGTGAATCCAAAGACTTATCTAAAAATTAAACAATACAAAAACAATCTAAAAAGTGATCTTGTCCAATTGGAGATAACGGAAGACATAAAACGAGAGGGTTTGAGGGTTTTAAATGATGTTTTTGAGTCTTCGCCTATTGACGATGTTTTAAAAATAATTGGTACTTCAAAATCTGAAGATACAAGTGAAAATTGTCTTAAAAAGAGCCCTCAACAACAAGTTAAGACTTATGTTAATAAAAGAAAAATTACTACTACACCCCAATCGAAAGTTTTGGAGAGTTTCGGCTTACCGGATGATCCAATAGTTCCACTTATAGGTGATAAACTGATTTTTAAAACTTTTAAAGGGTTGGATATTGAAAAAGGTTCGCCAGAAAATGTTACGTTAGTGGATAGTTTTATTGGGAAAATATTTCAAGAGGATTTAAATGGGATTTGTAAGAAAATGAAGGATAATGAAGATAATAGATTTATTGGTAATAAAAGAAAATCAAACCTTGCTAATAATAATAAAAGGCGATCTAAGAATGATGACAAGGTAAAGACAATCAAAAAAGAAACTGCTATTGATACTGATTTCGCAATAATCATTAAAGAAAATTATAACAAAATGACGAATAAACCAAATGATGTGAGTAAAAATGAGGCGATTGTTATTAAGGGTAACCAAAAAATTCATGAGTTGAAACAAGATTTTAACCATGTTAATAAAGATGTGAATATTAAGGAAGAAAATCATATTGTAGAAAAAGTAAAAGATAAGAGGGGTAGGAAAAAGAAAAATGGAATTAGACATAATAATCAACCAAAAATTAATGGAGCTCATTTCAACAATTTAAGTGATATAATTAATAGCAAAGTAACAGTTAAAGAAACAATTGAAGAAAATGAAATTAAGTTAGAAGAAAATAATGAACTTGATGACCATCATGATCAATTGGGTAATAATTTTGATACTTTTAATTTATCTATATAATATATGTCTATATACAAGGTGTATCTAAACTGATGTGAATGTGTCTTTCATATAACTTTTTGGTCAAAATCACTTCTCCTCCAAGTTACAGCCCTCTAAAATTAGGGAAAAAATTGTTTTTCTTTAATAAATTCACTATGGAGGAGTTTGGAAGGATGAAATTTGGCAGATAACTATTACTAGTAAGGTGACATTTTTTGACGATTTTTATAACCCTAATATGGTTTTATAAGGGGGTGAAAAAATCCACCCCTATGATACTTCGCATCAGAACTTTTTAATGCGTCTACATTTTTCTAATTAAAAAAGTAATTTAAATAGAGGGATTCAATATGCAACTTTTTTGTCCCTTAATATTTTCTCCAAAAATTGTTGGTTTGTCCATAAAAAAATAAAATAGTACTCAGACCTATTTGACACAAATTCACAGTATGGTTATTATTTACGTAAAAATATCAAGTAGTCTGATGTCATAATGACAAATTTTTGACAAAAAAAAAATAATAATACACAGACACTAACAATAACAATTAACAATACTACAAAAAAGAAATAATAACAACGTTAACAAAATATTAATAATCATAATAAATGTTGAAAATGCCGCCCCTCAGCAGCGACGCACGATTCTACCCTTTGCCCCATTGAATTTCGTATTCTTTCAAAAATTCCTGGTAATCCTGTTGAAAAATCATTGATATTTTCAACAGGAGTTGAATAAACCTTGTACCATAATTCTCGCCTGATTTCTATCAAAACGTCATCAAGAAGCAGGGGCAACTCCTCTTCAAGGAAATTACAGTATGCGTCTCCATTTAATCTCATTGGAAGAAAATATCCAATTAAATAATTGTCACTGACACCAAGCCACACATTTAATGAAAATTGGATTCAACAATTTTATGTGGATTTTCTTCAGCCCATATGTGATTATTATGAAAATTTCTGATGGATTCTTTTGAAAAATTCGCCTCATCAGTAAACAAAATATGACAAAATCAAAACCATTTGAAGAATCCATTGGCAAAAAATTAACCGAGGTAGAAAATCTCGCGGTAAGAGCGCTTGAACACGTTGCAGATGATAAGGATACAAGTTGTTTAATTGAGCATTTTTTCTTGTACTGGTTCCGGTAGAGTACTCAATTAAGTTAAGAACTTCCTCTAGTACTACATTACCTATTTCTCGTGAACGTCCGCAATCGACAATTCTTCTTGAAAAATCTCCATCTTCTCGAAGACGTTGATGAATACACGCAAATATGCTGTGATGAGGTAGTGTACGTTCTGGATATAACTCAGCGTAAAGCCTTCGAGCTTCTAACCCATTTCCATTACCACAATCATACACAAAATGCATGCCATTGTATTATTACTTAAGCAATAATTGTTTTAGTTTATGAAAATAATACGGATAAAATCAACAATGAAAATATTTGTCATTATGACACCTGCCCACTTGATATTTTTAAACAAGTAATTACCAATCTCTGAATTTATGTCAAATAGGTTTAAGTATTTTTTATGAACGATTTTAGGAGAAAATGTTATAAGACAAAAAAGTTGCGTATGAATACTTCAAGTTTCTAAATAAAAAAATGTGGGCGCATTAAAAAGTTCTGATGCAAAGTATTATAGGAGTGGATTTTTTCGCCCCGTTGTAATTACATTATTAATATTGTTTAACATATAGGGTTATAAAAATCGTTAAAAAATGTCACCTTATTAGTAAAAGTTATCTGCCAAATTTCATCCTTCCAAATTCCTCCATAGTGGATTTATTAAAGAAAAACATTTTTTCCCCTAATTTTAGAGGGCTGTAACTTGGAGAAGAATTAAAATCTTGGGCATCAATTTCCTGTATAATATACGTCTATATAGAGCAGTGGTGTCCATAACGTCGATCGCCAAGAAAATCATGAATCTGAAATATCTATATCTGGGCCTTAGAGTAAAAAAAAGGAAGGTTAAACCCTTCGGTCGATATTGATCAAAAATTAGTGGACACCACTGCTCTAAATCGATTAAACGTGAAAATTGTTGATTTTCAAAAATTAACTCAATCATAACTCAAAAACTAAAAACGATGGAGAAATACTTTTTATACATAAAACCTTAGTAATGGACCATAAAGACTAGATCTATAAAAAGATTGAACTCAATTATAACCCTTCTTTATTTAGTAGCTTTTTAAATCGACTAAACATCAACATTGTTGATTTTCGAAAATTAACTCAATCATACATAACTCATAAACTAAAAGCGATGGGGAAATATTTTTTATACATAAAACCTTAGTAATGGGCGATAAAAACTAGATCCATAACAAGATTGAACCCAATTATTACCATTTTTTATTATAAGCTCTAAACCGATTAAACATCAAAATTGTTGATTTTCGAAAATTAACTCAATCATAACTCATAAAATAAAAGCGATGGGGAAATATTTTTTATACATAAAACCTTAGTAATGGACCATAAAGACTAGATCCATAAAAAGATTGAACCCAATTATTACCATTTTTTATTTATAAGCTCTAAATCGATTAAACATCAAAATTGTTGATTTTCGAAAATTAACTCAATCATAACTCAAAAACTAAAAGCGATGGGGAAATACTTTTTATACATAAAACCTTAGTAATGGGCCATAAAGACTAGATCCATAACAAGATTGAACCCAATTATTACCATTTTTTATTTATAAGCTCTAAATCGATTAAACATCAAAATTGTTGATTTTCGAAAATTAACTCAATCATAACTCAAAAACTAAAAGCGATGGGGAAATACTTTTTATACATAAAACCTTAGTAATGGGCCATAAAGACTAGATCCATAACAAGATTGAACCCAATTATTACCATTTTTTATTTATAAGCTCTAAATCGATTAAACATCAAAATTGTTGATTTTCGAAAATTAACTCAATCATAACTCAAAAACTAAAAGCGATGGGGAAATACTTTTTATACATAAAACCTTAGTAATGGGCCATAAAGACTAGATCCATAACAAGATTGAACCCAATTATTACCATTTTTTATTTATAAGCTCTAAATCGATTAAACATCAAAATTGTTGATTTTCGAAAATTAACTCAATCATAACTCATAAAATAAAAGCGATGGGGAAATACTTAGTAATGGAGCATAAAGACTAGATCCATAACAAGATTCAACCCAATTATTACCATTTTTTATTTATAAGCTCTTCTAAATCGATTAAACATCAAAATTGTTGATTTTCGAAAATTAACTCAATTATAACTCAAAAACTAAAAGCGATGGAGAAATACTTTTTATACATAAAACCTTAGTAATGGACCATAAAGACTAGATCTATAAAAAGATTGAACCCAATTATAACCGTTTTTTATTTAGTAGCTTTAAATCAACTAAACATCAACATTGTTGATTTTCGAAAATTAATTCAATCATAACTCATAAACTAAAAGCAATGGGGAAATATTTTTTATACATAAAACCTTCGTAATGGGCGATAAAGACTAGATCCATAACAAGATTGAACCCAATTATTACCATTTTTTATTTATAAGCTCTAAATCGATTAAACATCAAAATTGTTGATTTTCGAAAATTAACTCAATTATAACTCAAAAACTAAAAGCGATAGGGAAATACTTTTTATACATAAAACCAAAAATAAATAAAAAATTTAAATTTATTTATTTATTTTTTATCACAAATTGAATTGTCGTTTCTCCATATTCAATGGCAAGAAGGCTGAAAATTTTAAATGGTACGCCCCATATTTTTTTAACCTACCAGAATTAAATTTTTATAAAACCTAATTTTTGTTTTCATTGATTCATTTATTTGTTGTTCTATTTGTTATTTTTGGTAAATAAAAGATAGTGAACTAAAAGATTATCAATTAAAGTTAATTGTAAAGATAAATTAAACGAAAAACTGTCAAAATATCATGGCCTAATAAAAATATAACCGGTTTCCGGCATTTTCCGTCAAATTCCCTTTCTGGTGGGCTAATAAAATGTGGGGCGTAGCATTTAAATTTTTCACTTTCTTGCTATTGAATGCGGAAAAAAGGTAATTCACTTTTTGACTATCCTGTACAAGATACTATGACACAAGCCCTAGAACTAGAATCCTTCGGGTTTAGCCGTCTTGAAAGGCGTGCGGCTAATTCCGAATGTTTCTAGTTCTCGGTCTAGTGTTAGTTCTAGCTTTGCACTATCACTAGAACAAACACAAGACCTAGAACTAGAATCATTCGAGTTTAGCCGTCTTGAGAGACGTGCGGCTAAATTCGAATGTTTCTAGTTCTCAGTATAGTGTTGGTTCTAGTTTTAATTGTTATTTAGCGTTAGATTGTAGTATATTTTTATTGAACGAAAACTAGAACTACCAGTAGACCTAGAACCAGAAACATTCTGGTTTACCCGTGCGTCTCTTAAGGCGGCCGAAAACTCGGGGGTTTAAGGACGTTACCTTTTTTCAAGCAAAACTTTTCCTTTGCAAAACTTCCCAATGCCTGTATTATTAAGCTATGTTACATTTTATGTGGGACAGTGCAAGTGCATAGTAATTTCGTAACTAAGATTACTGCATTTATATATTGCGAGTTATATGAAATTCTCGGTATTTCCATGTATACTTAACACTAGTTTCCTCATAGCCTCATTGGCGTATTTGACAAGTGGCAATTTATTACAACTCCCATCTCGATTCATCGATGTATTTCTCATGTGTCAAATTGTCAATGTTGGTCTCCACCAAACAAATATTAATTATTTTGTTGAGATCAAGATCTTCACTTGACTTAAGTTTTTTTTAAGTCTTAAATGGTTTTTGGTTAATCTAAACCTATTCACCATTAACTTTACTTCAAAATCGTATGCATGTTCATGCACTTTTATAATTTATTACATTACATATGTTTTATAAAAGATTACAATGATGAATGTTTAAAAAAGTAAACATTTGTTCTTCATCTCTAGATATTGAATTTTTTCCTGGAGAATTAATGTGGGCGAGATTCGGAAAATTCCCTTATTGGCCTTGTATGGTTACTTCACATCCACAAACCGACAAAACTACCCGATATATCAGTAAGTTTTAAACACAAAAATAATTTGTTGAATGTTACCTAAAAGATAAATTTTATTAATTTCTATGTATTAGATAGTCAAAAATTAGAGGTCTATGTTCGTTTTTTTGGAGATAGAGGAAGGTGTTCATGGATACCAAAAACACATCTGTTACCTTATTCAACTCTTGAAGAATTGGACCAATGTTTAAGTATTGTAAGTAATAAAGTTGTTTTTTTAATCTAGCTTATATTTAATTTTAATTGCAATTCTTAAAGAATAAAAAGCATTTGGCGCATGCTAGTGCAAGATCTCATTACGTTAAAAATTGGAGAGTGGCAATACGGGAAGCGGATTCACTCAAAAATAAGTCGTTAGATGAAAAATTTAAATTTTTCGAAGCGGTTTTAAAGGAACAAGAAGAAATTTTACGCGAGAAAAAGTTAAAAAAACAATTAAACCGAGTTGCAAAACGCAAATTATCCCTGGAAGATAACAAAGATGTTATACCTCTTGCACAAAATGAGATAAATTCGCCGCCCGCAAAACGAAAACGTATCAAAAGTGAGGAAATCGTTGATAATAACATTGATAATATCGAAAATAAACCGTTTTCGGTCACTTTAGAGGAACAAACGTTGCTTTATAAACGCAATAATTTATTTAAAGGAGTTACGCGAGAGAAAGTTTGTCATTTTTGTTTAAAATCTGGAATTGTTTTAAGGTGCAAAGGTAAATGTCAAGGTTTTTACCATTCCGAATGTATTAAAAAAAATGCTGAATCGTTATCAAACAAAAACAACAGTTTTAACAAAACACAGGTTAAAATAGTTTCCATAAAAGATCGGAGGCGATTAACACCAACGAATTTAAATCTTAATGAACAATCCGACGAATTTAAAGAATTGAGTTTAAGCGATAAAATCGATAGTAAAATGAATGAAGTTATGAAAGACTTCAATGATAAAGCGTTGTATTTAGAATCAACCGACAGTAGTTGCTATGAAAGTTCTGTTGATCTTAATGCAGACGATTTAGATTCAATTGATAATGATATTTGTAAAAGTTGTTTAATAAATTCCTCACCCACTGTGTGTTTTATCTGTGAAAATAATTTTGAATACAACCCCAATGATGGATCGTTTTCAAAAAGTGAGGTTGAGATGAATAGTAGCTTAGATAAACAAAACGGAAGTATAAGCGGCGACGTAACTCCAAAAGTCGAGGAAGAAAATCATGTGCAACGTTGTTCTTCGTCAAAATGTAACAAATTCTTTCATCCGCATTGCTTAAAAAAATGGCCCCAAACGCAATGGTCGATTACATCAACAAGAAAACATAAATCACCTGGAATAAATTCAAATTCAAACGAATTCATTTGTCCCACTCACTTTTGCCACATTTGCGTTTACGATGATCCAAGATCCTTAACATCTCGTTTTTACGGTGACAAACTAGTAAAATGTATTTATTGTCCAACAACGTATCATATGGCAACGTGCTGTATTCCCGCAGGGACACAAATTTTAAGTTCTACCCAAATCATTTGCACAAAACATTTTGGAGCGAGCTTTCACCAATCAAATTCTTCCACAAAAACAAAACGAATTCTTCCGATAAATACGACATGGTGTTTTATTTGTTCAAAAGGAGGTGCGCTAATTTGTTGCGAAACATGTCCAACGAGCGTTCACGCTGAATGCGTGGCCGTTAAATACGACGTTGACGATAAATTTATTTGTGAGGATTGTGAATTTGGACGGTTTCCACTTTACGACGAAGTTGTTTGGGTAAAATTGGGGTATTATCGATGGTGGCCAGCGTTGATTATGTTTCCAAATGAGGTCCCTGACAAGATAAACGAAATGAAACACAGACCTGGTGAGTTTGTGGTTATGTTTTTTGGAACTTACAATTATTATTGGATCGGAAGGGAACGTGTTTTTGTCTTTGAGGAAGGTGACGATTCCGGAAGTGGTGGAGGAAACGGGCAAAAAAAGAAGATGGAGGAGATTTTTAAGAAATCCATTGAAGAGGCCACACAAGCTTTTTTATTAAAAAGAGGTAAACAGGAATAATTTATTATTAAATCAAGTCAAAAGTATTTTAAACAAATTTGATTAAATTCTATTACTTTTTTATTACAAGCTTAATTAGATTAAACTAAAATATCTAACATAACTTTAATCTTGCTTTATATATTTCTATGCTCTTGATTAGATCAATTAGAATCTGAATCAAACAAATTTGGGAATTATTTTAAAGATAAATAAAGCCTTGAAAAATATAATCAAAAATTTAAAGATAATCATGACAATCTCTCTATCAAACTTGTGGCGAAGTAAAAAGTAAAATATATTTCTGATTTATTTAGATTTACTTATATTTAGACAGATTTAATTTTATATTAAATTGGTTTATAACAATTTTGGCCCATAAACTAACTTCCAAGATGCCCTGAAATATCTTAATAAAATAATTGATATCTTTTGTCAAATATAAGATGATATGGCGACATTTATAGGGACTTGTTAACATTTTCAACTATACCTTTGCTATATATGGAGCTGTTTTCTTACACGACCACTGTTTTTTGTTTTAAACAAAATAATTGTGATAAATTGTGATATCACACTCGTTTTTATAAAGTGCTTTTTTTTGCCAAACTGGGGATAACTGATGTTAATGCTTTTTTCTTTGGCTTTTTTGGGATGTTAGATTGTCTATTAAAGAAGTAGTATTTTTATTGTAAAGTAATATTCTCTTAAGAGAGTATTTACGTTTATAAGTCAAAAAATCGATAATTTTCACGATGTTTTTTAATTACTCGAGCTATTCTACAAGAGCTATATTTTTGTATTCATATTTCAGGTAGCTTTCAAAACAAAATCAAATCAAAAAGTGTTGTTTCTCACTTTTTTAATAAATTATTAAACCATTTCTATAAGCCATAAAAAACGTAGTGCTCTTAGTTCATCTAATTTCTTTTTTTCTCTTTTCGCTTGTTTAGTGGCGTCTGATGCTCGCTGTTCGAAACGTTCTAGCCTTTAGCACTTCTGGCTTCTACATATGCAAAAATACCGATACCCAAAGTAATATACAGAGTGATTTATTAGCTCACCATCCAACTTTGACATATGATAGCTAATTCAATTACCAAAAAAAAAAGTTAATGAACATAATATGTCCTTTTTCAATTATTTACGAAATTATAACACTTCAAAGTTTTAATTTTTATATCATAATTAACAACTATATTTTTTTTAAACACATACATATTACAAATATTGTTCAAAATAGCTTCCTTCTGCTAGAATACATGCTTCACAACGACGAATTAAAGAGTTCTTCAGCCGAATTAAAATGTCTGGTTGATTTCTTATTTCAATAGCATATTTTGAATTACATTAAGAGGTATATTTTCAAGTAAATCAAAAAATATATTGTTCAAAGAAAATTTGTAATTTCCATCAAGTACATGCAAACCTAGTAAATTGTTGTTAAATATTCCACCCCAAACGTTGATGCTGAAACGTTGTTGAAATTTCCTTGGTCTAATCGCATGCGGATTCTGTAATCCCCAGATATGTTTATTATGTTAATTGTTTATACCATCTCGTGTAAAACATGATTCATTTGTCCAGAGAACATTTGAAATGAAGTCATTATTTTGGGCATGTTGCTGTAATAACCATTCACAAAATGCTAACCGTTACTGATTATCTACTGACTGTAGAGTTTGAACATTCATTTACGATACGGATGAAGGACTTCGTGGTTCAATACTCGCCATGCAAAATTTTGACTTACATGTATGTTGTGTGCTATTCTTCGAGTGCTGATGGAAGGCTGATCAATGACAACCTTCAGTAAAAATGTAACTGCTAAAGCCTTGTATCTGATTCATGGTTAATTACTGGTTATATTAAGGTCTTGTATAGGACTAATTTAATTTTTCTTGGTAACTTAGATGTGAAGTTGTTTGTATGCCTATGGAAGCATTTGTTGGCTTGGACTGATTCGCTGGCAGAATTTTTATTATTCATCAGGGATCCCAAGTATACGCAACTGCTAAAAGTCTCTGTCTTGTCATCTCCAACTTTCAAATGTTTTGATATGTTTACACCGCTAGCCTTTACCATGTGAAAATGTGAATTTTGATTATATTATTTAAATATGTTATATTAGGCATCAAAATCAAACATTTTCAAATATAAAACGTTGTTACTAGGTTCGCAATTGTGGTAGTCATTCACAACAATCACTATTTTTGTGAAAATTTTATGAATTTATCAATTAATATTTTTTTTACATTTATGTATCGTGTTTGGTATCAAAATCGATTATTTTTAACTAAAAAATTAGATTTGTAGGTTCACCGGCGTGGTAATTAATCATTTTTAATATTCATATATCATATTTGACATCAAAAAGGAACATTTTTAATTAAATTATTACCTTAGAACGTACTTCAGCGTCAAAATCATTCACAAAAATCAGTATTTTTTGCGAAAATTTTGTGAATCTTAATTTTTCACCCAAATATGTCACGTTTGGTATCAAAATCAGCCATTTTGAACCAAAGAATTAAGATTTCAAGGTTCACCGACGTCGTAATTAATCACCATCATCACTAATTTTGTGAATTTTACGTTTTTACTATTTATACATCACTTTTGATATCAAAATTGAATATTTTCAATTAGATTATTATCTTACAACATTTCGTAACCTCATTATCATTCACAATAATCACTGTTTTTTGTGCAAATGTTGTGAATTTTAATTTTACACCTAAATATGCCATGTTTGGTATCAAAATTGATCATTTTGTCTTAAAGAATTAAGATTTTGAGGTTTACAAGCGTGGTAATTAATCACAATCATCACTATTTTTGTGAAAATTTTGTAAATTTAGCATTTTACTATTCCTATATCATCTTTAACATCAAAAACNCTGGCAGAATTTTTATTATTCATCAGGGATCCCAAGTATACGCAACTGCTAACAGTCTCTATCTTGTCATCTCCAACTTTCAAATGTTTTGATATGTTTACACCGCTAGCCTTTACCACCATATACTTGGCCTGTGTAAAATGTATCCTCTCCTCGTTAAAACGTCTTAGGTTTTCAAGTCTAAGACAGTCTGATACAATACATGTCTGTATGTATTTTATAGTGGAGTGCAGGAGGTACATAATAAAACGGGCCTGCTTGTCCACACAGCGTATACTTTATAATTATCGCTATTTAAATTGTCATGTATCTATTATATGATAATTAACTTCAGGTTTAAAATGTCAACCTCAATTTTGATATATTTATAATATTTTTAATAAAGATGACAAATATGTCAAAATTGACGTTGACGTTTCAAACCGGAAGTGATTGTATCTCCATTAATATCAAAGTTAAATATGTCAAGTTTTTACTCATTTTAAAGGATTTTTACGAAGTTGACAAATATGTCAAAATTAATAGTTTAAAGTTCGAATTTTTTGGTTTTTTGAGAGAAATGCGTCTCTCAAACGGTTAAACCCGACACTTTATAGTTCTAGGTCTAGTGTTAGTTCTAGCTATAGTGCAATAAAAATATGCAACATAGTGATATCTTATGCTAACTAGCGCTACCTACTGCTGTCATTTGTAAAATGGATAAGATGTTAATCTATTTGTAGAGTGTTTGAAGATGATAACCATCTTCAAAGATAATAGCAACCTCAGTTGTTTTGTTACACCTGAGGGTTTGGCCAGACTTTTGTGGCAGCTTAAAGCTTGGTCATCCTAACTTTATGTTATTAAACTTAACAATTGTTACCAAAGCAATTATAACCTTCTTCTAACAATTGAGAACTTGACCTAAATGATTTTTGACATTTTTGAACTAAATTTGTTATTTGGGCAATGTAATTCCAAACGTTTTCTACAATTAAAGTTTGGCCAATGCAATTCCAGAATTTTTTCTGAAACTTGGACCTTGATTAATGTTACTTCGACCATTTTTTTGCTATTTGTAATCTTATCAATGCAATTTTTCTTGCAAAATAAAATCGAACCAGAGTAATTACAACAGCTTTTTTCAAATCTGCAGTATATTTTCCAGATATTTTCTTGCAAGTTGGAAATAGCTCAGTGTAACTTGCAAGAAAAAGAGATGAATACAAAGTTTTCAATGTATTCTCCTACTTGTTGCGAAACTTGTTGCATTCTCCAATATTAGCCGAGATTTTTTGAAAATGTTTGTGAAAATGTGAATTTTGATTATATTATTTAAATGTGTTATATTAGGCATCAAAATCATACATTTTCAAATATAAAACGTTACTAGGTTCGCAATTGTGGTAGTCATTCACAACAATCACTATTTTTGTGAAAATTTTATGAATTTATCAATTAATATTTTTTTTACATTTATGTATCGTGTTTGGTATCAAAATCGATTATTTTTAACTAAAAAATTAGATTTGTAGGTTCACCGGCCTGGTAATTAATCATTTTTAATATTCATATATCATATTTGAAATCAAAAATGAACATTTTTAATTAAATTATTACCTTAGAACGTACTTCAGCGTCAAAATCATTCACAAAAATCACTATTTTTTGCGAAAATTTTGTGAATCTTAATTTTTCACCCAAATATGTCACGTTTGGTATCAAAATCAGCCATTTTGAACCAAAGAATTAAGATTTCAAGGTTCACCGACGTCGTAATTAATCACCATCATCACTAATTTTGTGAATTTTACGTTTTTACTATTTATACATCACTTTTGATATCAAAATTGAATATTTTCAATTAGATTATTATCTTACAACATTCCGTAACCTCATTATCATTCACAATAATCACTGTTTTTTGTGCAAATGTTGTGAATTTTAATTTTACACCTAAATATGCCATGTTTGGTATCAAAATTGATCATTTTGTCTTAAAGAATTAAGATTTTGAGGTTTACAAGCGTGGTAATTAATCACAATCATCACTATTTTTGTGAAAATTTTGTAAATTTAGCATTTTACTATTCCTATATCATCTTTAACATCAAAAACTAACATTTTTAATTTAATTATTATTTCGTAACCTTCCCCAGAGTCATAACGATTCCCAACAATCACTATTTTTGTTTGTGAAAATGTTGTGAAATTTAATTTTACACCTAAATATGTCACGTTTGGTATCAAAATCAACCATTTTGAACCAAAGAATTAAGATTTCAAGGTTCACCAACGTCGTAATTAATCACCATCATCACTAATTTTGTAAATTTTGCGTTTTTATTATTTATACATCATTTTTGATATCAAAATTGAATATTTTCAATTAGATTATTATCTTACAACATTTCGTAACCTCATTATCATTCACAATAATCACTGTTTTTTGTGAAAATGTTGTGAATTTTAATTTTACACCTAAATATGGCATGTTTGGTATCAAAATTTATTATTTTGATCCAAAGAATTAAGATTTCGAGGTTTACCAGCGTGGTAATTAATCACAATCATCACTATTTTTGTCAACATTTTGTAAATTTAACATTTTACTATTCCTATATCATCTTTAACATCAAAAACTTAAACAATTTTTAATTTAATTATTATTTCGTAACCTTCCCCAGAGTCATAACGATTCCCAAGAATCACTATTTTTTTTTTGTGAAAATGTTGTGAATTATAATTTTACACCTAAATATGTCATGTTTGGTAACAAAATTGATCATTAAGGGCCGAAACTAGTTAGACTTAACTTCTATATAAAATAAAAGACATAAATTTTTAATTTTATACTAACATCTAGAAAACGACACTGGTCCGAAATTGTAGGTTGATCTATTTTTTCTATTGTAGAATTTCTTGGTGTATCTAAGTCGGTTCTTAGACGTATGATGCAAATTGGACTTGAAATCGTATAACGTGATTGGCGCTTAGCGTTATTCTTTAAAACAAATGGTATTTTAGGTCTTTCGGTATTCTGCATTTTTTCTAAGATAAGTTACACCTTTACCTACCAGACAGCATGAAAATCTCTAAAAACGATAAAATGTCGCTTAGTCAAGTGAAAATCAAGCTGAAATATGTAACAAGACTATATAAATAAATTTATAAGGTGAGATTGAAGTTTTGTTCAATATCTTCTTTAATTGACTTTAACTGTTAATCAAACAGCTTAATTATTAAAATTAATTGTAACCTCTAAAATTGATTAAAAAAGCATTAAAATTAATAAAATTGTTTTAAATTTAATCATTAAGGAATTAATTGGGCAGTATAACATTTGACACTGACTTAATTATAAAATCATAATTAATTAAAATTTTATTAATAATGTGTTATAATTACACAATACATGAATTTATTTTTTTTATGTTTAGAATTTAAAGAGTCGTATAAAAATAAATCAAGAATTCGACCCCCACCATACGTAAAAATTAAAGTAAATCGTCCCGTAGGAAATGTAAGACAATTCGACGGCAACATAAGCAATACAACACCTTGCGAGTGTAGTAAACTACAAGAAAACCCATGCGGTCCAGACAGCGACTGTTTAAATAGATTACTTTTAACCGAATGCGATCCCACGGTTTGCCCGGCAGGTTCAAATTGTCAAAATCAATGTTTTGAACAAAGAATTTACCCCGATTTGGTACCATATAAAACTGAAGCGCGCGGTTGGGGTTTAAAATCTTTAGAACCGTTAAGAAAGGGTCAATTCATTATCGAATATGTAGGCGAAATGATCGATGAAATCGAATATCAACGAAGAATTAAGCAAATGAATGAAATAAAAGAAGATAACTATTATTTTTTAACAATTGATAAAGATCGGATGATCGATGCTGGTCTCAAAGGTAATTTAGCACGATTTATGAATCATAGTTGTAAACCAAATTGTGAAACACAAAAATGGACCGTTAACGGAGATACAAGAGTCGGTTTATTTGCTTTAGAAGACATCCCAGAAAACGTCGAGTTAACCTTTAATTATAATTTAGAATGTATTGGGAAGGAGAAAAAGATTTGTTTATGCGGAGCATCGAATTGTAGTGGTTTTATCGGGGTTAAAGTGAACAAACCCCAAACAACATCGAATAATATGAGGAAAAAGCGAAAAAAGCGATCTAAAAAACGACATTTAGAAAGTATTCAAAGTACCATTAAGAAATGTTTTGTTTGTGGGTTAATAGATGAGGATTTGAAGTTGTGCGACAACAAGAGCTGTTTAAATTATTATCATTTGAAATGCGTGGGATTAGAAAATTGGCCAGAAAATAATAGAAAATGGATTTGTCCATGGCATACATGCACGATTTGTACACAACGCACAATTCGGTGTTGTACGAAATGTTTAAATTCTTATTGCCCGAAACATTCTGAAGGTAATATCCGTCATGATGATAAAAATGGATTCGTCTGTTCCATGCATGATTCGTTAAGACAACCAAAAGAAGTCGAATTTCATACCGTTGATGTTGATGAAAATGAGACGAGTTTAACCGCAGCGAATGCTACTGTAATAAATAATGAAGAGTTAGAAAAAAAAGATAAACAATATTTAGAGAAAGAAGGCAAAAACAATTTCTTAGGCGTTGACCAAAAGATAAATGGTTTAATAATTTTAACACCAAATAAAATAAATTCGAAAAGAAAACGAAACAATAAAAATAACACAAATTCATTTAAAAGTAAACGTAAACGTTCTGATGTTGGTAACACTAACAGTGTCCAAGAAAAACGGACTTTAAGAAGTGGATCAGTGACTAATAATAATGTAGTTAATGAAAAACTTTGAAGTAAGGCATAATTTTTTTGTATAATTGTATATTTTTTTTGTATATTCAATATTTAATAATTGCTATTTATAGTTTTTAATTTTATATAACTTTGTCATATATGATTCTTTAATGCATAATATGTTCTTTATAAAAATTAAGTTGTAAAGTAAGAAAAAAATATTTCGAAGACTTTATATTACTGATGGAATAAATTTTTTAGTAATTATATCTTTTCAATAGTTTATTTATATTTGTACCTTTTACATTCAAACAATTTATTGATGTAGAATATGTTTTAGGAAACTTCATCAAAGCAGATGCTTTGGATGAAAGAAATATTTTCTTTAGAAATTAACGATATATATTCGGTTCCCAGATCAATTTTGAGAAATGCCATTTCTTAGGATAACATTTTTTATGAATGGTTTTGCGGCCGCTTTTTCATTCTTTATGGGGTATGCTTCTATAAACTTGGTTGGGTCGCATTTTAACGTTAAAATATACCCAGAAAAAAGTGGCATAGAAATATTGGTCAAAGTCAAAGAAACAACTATAATAATTGGCGATGTAACAATAAACATGGAGATGCAGAATTTTAAACAAGATCTGTAGCTTCAAGTTTCAGAAGTTTTAGACATTCAACTAAACAAGCACTTCTATAAACATATCCAGCAAAGTGTTTTACTTGAATTTGATGCAGATCTCCTGGTGAGTGTTAAATTCATCATAATATCCCTATCAATTCCAAAAAAATGTTATCTTACATACGATAAAATAAACTAAAAGCAATTCTAAGAAAACTGCGCATCATTAAAATACAAATTGGTGCAAGAATTAGAAACACCAGCAATTTTATTGCTAAACGCGCAAAAGGAACCCATAAATGACTCAAGCTCCAGCGAAGGATACGTACTACTCCAAACGAAATTATAGCATTGATTAGGCAAAAGCATAGCGCTTGTCAAAAATCTAAAACTAAAGCTTTATACAATAAATTGTATCATAGAGCGAAAAGAGAATTAGAAAACCCTTTAGCTTCAATTAATATCACATGAACCTAAAACTGAATTCGAATTCACAAGTTTGCACCATATACAGGGTCCGGCAGTGGAAAGGAAAGATTTAAGGTAGGGTTTGCAGCGCGCCGCGAAGTGATGGGGAAGAAAGTAGCCGACTTGCCAAGACCTGCATGATTTGCCATTTGTTTTACAAAGTCAAAAAAATTATTTTTTGAATACTACATCCGCCAAATGTCCTCCGTTACAATTTATGCATACTTGGAGTCGTGTCTGAAAATTTTGCATAAAGAAGCTCTGCAAGAAAGAAGTCGCAGGGGGTTAGGTAGGGAGACCGAGGGGGCCAACTGATATCGCCGTTTCAAAGCAATTACAGCATTAATTGAAATTCTTGTAGTGTGACTTGTTGCCCCGTCTTGTTGAAAAAGTGTGTCTTCATTCCCTGGAAGGCCTTCAAGTTGTGGTGTGAGATAATTCTGAATCATTGCAACGTATCGTACAGAATTAACGGTAACGGCATTTTCAGCCTCATTTTCAAAAGTGATTTGCCCATTTGCCGAAATCTCACCGTTTTGAAAATAGGCTTTAACTGCGTAACCGCGCTGCTCACCCGTCCAACGCTCCATTGTAAACTAAATGGCAAATTATGCAGGTCTTCGCCATTTTCGAATTAAGGGGCGTAGCTCCGCGGGGGAGCTACGCCCCTTAAAATTGCCTAATTAATCACCCCCTGAAGTTTGGGCACGTCATTCAAATACATCCTGTATAGCATTTCATTTAGGTCAATTATTCCATTGCTCAGCATTATTGCAGCTGCGCCGCGTCGATTGTGTAACTTAACACTTCCGCCCGGCGAGGAAAGCATTGTATCGCGTAACTCATAATTGGTTTTACTTTAGAAACCGAACGTGTTAAACGTAAACCGCGCGCAATGTCTCGTAGTCGTCTCTGTTTTTTTTTTCGGTCTCTGTGAGTTTAAACCAAAGAAAAAATGTATTCGAAGTTGAGTTGGATTTAGCTCTTTTATCCTATTTATTGTTCATGGAAAACGTCTTACGAGCTGCGCATGGTCACCTTCCGTTGTGGTGGAGTTAGAGCGGGGGGGCTTGCTTCTCAACGTTTTTACCTACCCGGCTCATTCAAGACTTGTGAGGCACGCTTTTATGCGTTTAACAGGTAACGCGCGCGCTATCTTTCAGAGACGCCGGTTCTAGACAGGAAGTTGCTGCTTCTCCGTGACGTCATCCGCCCAATGTAAAAGAATAGGGAAGGGTGTTAACCAAAGGCTTGGGAGAAAACATAGGTTGGTAACTAGATCTAGTGACTTTTTAAAAAAAGTAACAGTACTTGGTTGTTAGTGGTTTAGTTCCACTACCGCCCACCAGGTGGCGCGTTACTTTTCTTTTTTAAAGTCACTAGATCGAGTTACTTTTCTAATACCAACCTATTTTTTTTCACCTCAGCCTTAGGTTGGTACCCTTCCCTATCCTTTTACATTGGGTTGATGACGTCATGTGGTGCGGATGTGGTGCAACTTCCTATCTAGAATCGGCGTTTCTATGCTACTATATAGCAAGCAAGTTGTCATTGAATATTTTTCTATTTGTCTTTATTAGGAGGATTCTTATCTATGGTTTTTATTGTTATTTGGAAGCCTATACGGTATTTATAATACTGACGTGACTGTATTTCACATGACTATAAATACGAAATAAATGTTTTCACTGTAAACATGTCTGTTATAACTGGTTTCAGACCGTGCACATCACTAATTTTAACGGCTGCAAAGATGTCTAGGCAGATGTACACAGAACAACAACTAGAGCTACAATCGACTGATTTGGAATCCTCCTGGAATACTATCGCTTCAAATTGCAGCATACGCATGTCTGTGGCCATCAAGCCCATACGTACATCACGAAGGCATACGAATAGCGCATATTAATTGGGGAGTAAGCGCTGGAGTAGATATGGACCAGGAATAGATGACACTGTGTAAGTCCAAAAAAATATTCAAAAGTATCGCTGCGATTAGCATGATTTCTCGAAAACTATTTCACCGATCAGTTCGAATCTTTCACGAGTTTATTTCTAATTACAATAGCTCCCTCGTGAACAAAGGTATTTTACATTTGAACGCACCAAAATTCATATAAGTACACCAATATATTATGTACTATTTGATGCCATAAAGCGCGTTTAAATAAATGTTCATTTATATTTAAAAAAAATTGTGAAAATCCTTTNCGGCAAACTGTCGGACACGCCACAATTTTAACGGCTCATCTGTCATTAGCGACTCACTGCGTTCGTCGCTAAGCGACAGACCACGCCATAAAAAGCACTGCTTCTCTTCCATATAAAACAATATACTATTTGACGTTTAAATGTCAGTGCTTTTCTTAGTTTTTATTGTTTTTTAAATTAATTTTTGAATAAAATTCTATCGCATTTACGGTCGTTCCTTGACGTTTCAAAATTTTAAATAAAACAATAATAATAGTAAGAAAACTACTTTTAGGATACTTTCATTTACCTATAAATATGTAAAATTTTTCTAATTGTATTTATCATTTTCATATAAAAAATTTTAGCAAAAATGTATGGGGGTGGTTACGTTTAGTAGTTTAGAAGGGTAGGTTGAAAGTACAAATAGAGTCAAAACGTGCCCTATTATGCGTTAAACATATTTCCCAAATTTCATTTTCCTAGCGTTTATGATTTTTGAGAAAAAACCACTAAACCAAAATTTTTCGCCATTTTTGAAGGGGCGTAGCTCCGCAGGGGAGTCGAAATCGCTCATAGTTTATATAAGAAAGTACCCTTAAAATTGCCTAATTAAGCACCCCCTGAAATTTGGGCACGTCATTCAAATACATCCTGTATAGCATTTCATTTAGGTCAATTATTCCATTGCTCAGCATTATTGCAGCTGCGGCGCGTGGATTGTGTAACTTAACACTTCCGCCGGCGAGGTGCGCCGCGTGTAACTTAACACTTCCGCCCGGCGAAGAAAGCATTGTATCGCGTAACTCATAATCGGTTTTACTTTAGAAACCGAACGTGTTAAACGTAAACCGCGCGCAATGTCTCGTAGTCGTCTCTGTGTTTTTTTTCGGTCTCTGTGAGTTTAAACCAAAGAAAAAATTTATTCGAAGTTAAGTTGGATTAACCCCGTTTACCCTATTTATTGTTCATGGAAAACGTCTCACGAGTTTCCGTTGTGGTGGAGTTAGAAGTGGGGGGGCTTGCTTCTCAACGTTTTTACCTACCCGGCTCATTCAAGACTTGTGAGGCACACTTTTATGCGTTTAACAGGTAACGCGCGCGCTATCTTTCGGAAACGCGGGTTCTAGACAGGAAGTTGTTACTCCTCCGCTCCTCCGTGACGTCATCCGCCCAATGTAAAAGAATAGGGAAGGGTGTCAACCAAAGGCTTGGGAGAAAAAATAGGTTGGTAACTAGATCTAGTGACTTTTTAAAAAAGTAACAGTCTACTTGGTTAGTAGTGGTTTAGTTCCACTACCAGCCACTAGGTGGCCCGTTACTTTTTTTTAAAAGTCACTAGATCCAGTTACTTTTCCAATACCAACCTTTTTTTTTTTCACCTTGTTGATACCCTTCCCTATCCTTTTACATTGAGTTGATGACGTCATGTGGTGCGGATGTGGTGCAACTTCCTATCTACAATCGGCGTTTCTATACTACTATATAGCAAGCAAGTTGTCATTGAATGTTTTTGTATTTGTCTTTATTAGGAGGATTCTTATCTATGGTTTTTATTGTTATTTGGAAGCCTATACGGTATTTGTAATACTGACATGACTGTATTTCACATGACTACAAATACGAAATAAATGTTTTTTTGACTGTTACTGTTACTGGTTTCAGACCGTGCATATCATTTAGAGAGAACAATCCCGAGTAATATTAAAATCACCGATAACTGCTAAAAATCACCTCTACTTTAAAATCGCTATTTATACCGGTGTATTCGCCGCTAAGCTCATCACTAATTTTAACGGCTGCACAGATGTCTAGGCGGATTTACACAGAACAACAACTAGAGCTACAACCAACTGGTTTAGAATCCTCCTGGAATGCTATCGCTTCAAATTGCAGCATACGCATGTCTGCATTTTTAACGAAAGCAATTAATGAATGTAGCAATTTTGAAGATTTTTGAGCTATTAAGAGTACCCTGTGCCCATCATGCCCATACGTATATCACGAAGGTATACGAATAGCGCATAATAATTGGGGAGCAAGCGCTGGAGTAGATATGGACCAGGAATAGATGACACTGTGTAAATCCAAAAAAATATTCAAAAGTATCACTGCGATAAGCATGAGCATGATCTTTCACGAGTTTATTTCTAATTACAATGGCTCCCTCGTGAACAAAGGTATTTTACATTTGAACGCACCAAAATTCATATAAGTACACCAATATATTATGTACTATTTGATGCCATAAAGCGCGTTTAAATAAATGTTCATTTATATTTAAAAAAAATTGTGAAAATCCTTTAATTTTCTGCATCCCAACTAGGATAGAACAATTTATTGAATGCAAGAACAATTTTTTTCAATAATTTCTTTATTTGCTGGACAATTAAAGGCAAATTCGACTAAATATAAAACTACTACAGGAATCACAGTGTTTTTGAGTTATGGTGTTACCATCGATGGTTGACTTGGATTCCATATTAATACGATTGAATCTAGCACTTGTTGCTAAAAATGATATAATTCGAACATTCGATGAATCCTAAGCTAAGAAATGTATAACTACGTCAGAACTCAAGGTTGTTTTTTATAAATTTCTAGTAAAAACGCAATAATCGACGAACAATACCCAATAAAAAGTACATAAAAAGCGGTTTGTAAATCAATAACAGTAAAAGGACGAATTTGTACATCTTGAATTGATTTTAAATCATCCCCAACGATATCTCTGTACCACTTGTTATAAAACCCACCCTCCAAAGCACCTCGAATTACATAATTAATCTCTTGCAACATTAAAGAATCTCTTCGAACAACAAATGCTAATAAATAATTTTGCGGGCATTCCGGTATAGTATGAATCGATATCTTGCCGATTTTAGCTTGATTATTCATTTCAAATTTAGTCTTGGTCAATCTAGCTAAAAAATTACTATAATTCGGAATGTTATAAGGTAAAACTATTAAGTTTTCGTTTAATTTTTTCATATAAGATTGATTATACGCCTGAAAAGTATCACTTAAAGATTTCGAATGAGTTGAAATTAAAGCGTTAGTAACTGATAATTCTTCTAATGTTTTAAAATTATTATAATACTTTGGAGTTGTTAAAACAGTCGATAATGAGCTTTGAAATGCAGTTGAAGCAATCAAAATAAACAACAAATTAATCGACATTATTAATTTTTCGTGAGTTCTCCGTGAAAATGCTGCTTTTGGAATGTTAAAGTATATGTGGAACGTGTCTGTGACGACTGTAAACGGTTTAAAATCGTAATCGTGACTATTTCTCGATCGGTTTTGTTCGGGTGTTGTTAAGTGGTTTAATTTTCTTAAATAATACAAACTTGCGATTGTTGTTAAAAACGAAATTAATAAAAAAATCCAAACTTTTAACGTAAACGTTGAAAATAATGCGATCCATTTTGGTTTTCGCCCCAATTTCGGCACAACAACGCATAATTTATCGCTATCGATGCTTTCGGTGAATGTAAATTCGTCGATATAATAGTTTTTTATGAAAATTTGGCTGAAAATTGCGTCGGTGCTTTTATCATACAATAATCTAAAAGATCCCGTTATTGTTCCGTTCGATTCTTTACTTCCAAATAATGTCGAATAAATTATTTCGATCTTAGCGTTTAAAACTTGCGATAGAAATATCATGAATTTTAAATCTAAACCTTTAACTTCTCCGTTTTTCTCGAGATAAGTTATTGGAATACTTTGAGTGACCACTCCTGACACTTTTCTTTGGTTAAAATTAAAAGTTTTAAAGGATTTTTCGACTTTGTCGATTACCCTATCATCTATTAATTGGAATTCGTTGATGTAATCGAAATATTCGTTGTAAATAAATATTGTTTTATCATTCATAATAGCTACGTCTTTAAAAGAAAAATCTTTTGATTTTCGAAAAATTTCTTTGTTCTTATCGAGTGAAATTTCCGAATCAACGTTAAGAATTAATATTCGTTGTATGTAATCTTTCGTATTTCTTTTTAAAAGCTCCATTTTTTCGAGAATATCATTATATGTACAAAATAAAAACCCTTCTTGGTGGTAAGAATTAATCACCGTAGAACTAAATATTTTAAAATTGAACATTAATTCGTTTGATTTTTTTAAAAAGCTTTCACATATTATTAAATCTTTATCATTATCATTCAAAATTAATGTTATTGTCGTAAATTTTCCAAAAAAATCCGTAATAAACGTTGAAATTTGATCGTTATTAATCATTTCGACGATAACAATGAATCGACTAAAAATAACGCAAAATACGGTCGTTCTTTTAAATAATTTTTTTCTTAAAGTCATAGTAACGCTTTCAATCGTTACGTTACGATGACCACGAACTTTCAGAAATAAGGAACGTGAAAAATTCGACCTCTTTTTCCTTTTATTTCAGCTTATAGCCGGTTATTTACTTTGTAAAAAGACGATTACTTACAAAGTAAATAACACCCCGTGCTCTATTTCATAAATAAGAAATGAGATCTTCTTGACACCTCAATGTTGTCCTTTACTTTATGTATCATCGTTATATAAACACAAAAAAAAGGAAATTTTTTAAATAAGTTGACGACAAGGAATTACAAAACCTAAATCAAAACTTTTTGTGTTGAATAATTGGATATATTTAAGTAGATTATCAAAGTTTGAAAGCTAACAATCGATGCTGGTTTGTGCAGAGGCGGCGCTACCGGGGGGTGCAAGGGGTGCACTGCACCCGGGCGTCGCCTAAAAGGGGGCGCCGGCGCCTTTTTAATGTTTTCTCCAACAATATCTTATCTTTCTTTTGCAGTACTTAGATCTGTCAGCAGTATCTAGTCTTCAGAAAGCAGTATTTAGTCTTCACAAAGCAATTTTAGTCTTTAGAAAGCAGTATTTAGTGTTCCAGATGCTGTAATTAGACCTGTCGGCAGTATCTAGTCTTCAGAAAGCAGTATTTAGTCTTCTAGAAGCAGTATCTAGTCTTCTGCCGAAGTTATGTATGTTTTCTCCAAAATATTTAATCTTTCTTTTGCAGTATTTAGACCTGTTAGTAGTATCTAGTCTTCAGAAAGCAGTATTTAGTCTCCACAAAGCAATTTTAGTCTTTAGAAGGCAGTATTTAGTGTTCCAGGCGCTGTATTTACACCTGTCGGAAGTATCTAGTCTTCAGAAAGCAGTATTTAGTCTTCTAGAAGCAGTATCTAGTCTTCTGACAACGTTATGTATGTTTTCTCCAAGAATATCTTATCTTTCTTTTGCAGTACTTAGACCTGTCAGCAGTATCTAGTCTTCAGAAAGCAGTATTTAGTTTCCACAAAGCAATTTTAGTCTTTAGAAACCAGTATTTAGTGTTCCAGATGCTGTATTTAGACCTGTCGGCAGTATCTAGTCTTCAAACAGCAGTATTTAATCTTCCAGAGCAGTATCTAGTCTTCGGAAAGCAGTATTTAGTTTTTTAGAAGCAGTATCTAGTCTTCTGCCAACGTTATGTATGTTTTGTTCTTGATACTAACAGCTACTTCTTTCTGGGGGGATAGACCATCATCTTTTTGGGAGCCTCTTATTATCTATACGGATCTTGTACCATCCGGTACCTCATTTCTGCAGCTGTTACTTTGCTTTTGTGCTTATCCTGCATTGGCAAAGTTTCCGTATTGGTGATTTCCTGTCCTGTGCAATAACAAGACAAGTCCATTGGTTTCTTGTTCATATTCTTCGCATTCTTTTATTGAACACATAAGTATTGCCATGAAAAATCATGTTTGGTTTATAATCAATTTTTTGTTTTCTCTGAAAAGTAATTTCAGACTTCATGTGGACTTTGAACAATGTAATTCCTGTTTTTTGCTGAAGGGTTTAGCCGACGATGTTGAATGTACACTTATTTCATGTTATTTTCCTTTCCTCCATTTTTATAAATATTAACTGAAGTCCGAATTACTGCTGACCACTTTTAAGGTGACACTATGGAAAAGTGCATATCCACAAGTCCAATGCTGAAAGATTGTCACATATCAATTTAACTAAATTTTGATTCAGTACATATTCATATGCAGTGATACAATACACCCCAGAAAATGATAATATCTCATCTCCTAAAATTTAATTCAATGAATTTTTTAAACGAAGGATATTAGAAGTCTATATTATTTTAATACAAAGTCGAAACAGTACGACTTGTGCTACGAAGTGAAGGCTACAGGAGTAGATTTAGTCGCACGTCTTTCAAGACGGCTAAACCCGAATTATTGTAGTTCTAGGTCTTGTGTTAGTTCTAGTGATAGTGCAAAACTAGAACTAATACTATACCATATCCAGATCGAATTCGCACTTATGAAAATCAATTTCAAATTTACGAAATTGGATTTCACACAACTGAAAATCATTTTCGTACTAACGAAAAATCAATTTCGTACTAATGAAAACCAATTTTACACTAAAGAAACTAAATTTTTCCTTTACGAATTTCAAAGTCAACATTATGAAAACGAATTTTACATTCGTGAGAATGAATTTTATGTTTATGAAGATCAATTTCGAAAGAATTTTACTAGGCTGTAAATAAAGACCTATATAAACATGTTTATTCAATGGAATTTTAATAACGAGTATTTAAATAATTACAACAATATAATTAAATTAAACAATTAAATGATAACTATATATAAATTACATCTTAAAACTTATATTTCGTTTAGATCTCGTTTAAATCTTGCTCCCTTAGCACAGCAGCATAATAACGCTCCACATGATTTGTATACCCCAAAAGATGTTGCTGGGGAGTATCCCTAATTGCTTCATCTGCGATTTCTTCTAAAATCCGCATTCTACGTTCGGCAATAGTGAGTCCTTGATTATTATTTAAACGCACATAGTTCAGTACGTTTGGCATTCTAACTTGTATCTGTCTCTTCACTTTAGATTTAAAGGAGCTCCATAGGAGTTCAATAGGGTTTAATAAATATGAATACGGTGCTAAACGTATTATTTGAACATCCTCTTGGGGTTGCAAAACACTTTCCAAGTTTGAGTGCACAGGTGCGTTGTCGATAATAAAACTCGGGTGCAAAAATCCTAAATTTCTACATGTTGCAATTAAACCTCTAAACCATACTTTGCATTCTGCACCTTTATACGAACCTCTTTTATGCTCAAAAGATACAATTTGTGTGGAACACATCGCGCATAATTTGCATTGCGCCAATGCAATGCAAATTATTTCCTTTACTTGCCGGAACAACCACATGAGCTCTATGGCCAATTTTTGATCTACCCTCATTTCGACGGCAATATAATTAAAGTTGCACTCATCAATCCAAATGAGGTCTCTACCATTACCCCGGCTTTCTAAAAGTTTTTCAACATACTCCCTTTGTTTGACTTTATTTTCGTACGTATTGATGTTTGCAACATGTGGTCGAATTTTTTTAAGCTAAAATAATTTACCGTCCAGCCAGTTCTTTATCGTATTAATTGAAACACGAAGTTCAAATTCATTATGCACGCTATTAGATAGATCTTTAAGCGTTAACGTACTATCTTCTTCGATCCACCTTACTAACGCTTCGTCAATTGCAAGAGTTTTTTTAGACTTGGAACCTCCTTTAGGTTTCGGATCTTCTTGATCATTTTTTAACCATTCGTACGCAGTGCGAACGTTGACACCCAAGCCTTGAGTAGTTTGCCTCCAGTTTTTACCATCTTCGTAAGCTTTCATTATTCTTCTTCTATCAGCAGCACTAACTTTATTGTATTTACCGCGAGGCATTTTCATGGAGTTACGAAAGTTTGACGTTTATTAAAACAAATACCAAGCATACATGACTTATTCTTCGCAATTAATTGTCTTTCTTTAGGTGAGATTCCAAGCGTAAGTATGCTAGATTTTTTTTAAATTGATTTTCATAAATTTAAAATTAATTTTGACGTGTATGAAATTCATTTTAATAAAACAAAATTAAAATTCGTAATAGAAAAATTCAGTCTCTTTAGTGTGAAACTGGTTTTCGTTAGTAGGAAATTGATTTGTCGTTAGTGCAAAAATGATTTTCATTTGTGTGAAATCCAATTTCGTAAGTTTGAAATTGAATTTCATAACTGCGAAATTGATCTGGAAATGGTATAGATCTAGAACTAGAAACATTCGGATTTAGCCGCATGTCTCTCAAGACGGCTAAACCCGAATGTTTCTAATTCTAGGTTTGGTGTTAGTTCTAGTTTTAGTTAAAAAAAAATATACAACATATGATATCTTATGCTAACTAGCGCTACTGACAACTAACATTAGAACTAGAAACTGTTCTGTGTCTTGTGTTAGTTCTAGTGATAGTGCAAAACTAGAATTAACACTAGTTCTAGAACTAGAAAGTAACATGAACATGAACTAACACTAGACCTAGAACTATATACTTTGTAGTTCTAGGTCTAGTTTTAGTTCAATAAAAATATGCAACATAATGATATCTTATGCTAACTACGCTACTTACCACTGTCTCTAGAACTAACATTACACCTAAAAGCAGAAATATTCAGGTTTAGCTGTTTTAAGAGACGCACAACTAAACGGAATGTTTTTAGTTCTAGGTCTAGTGCTAATGCAGTCTAGTTTTATTTGTTATTCAGCACTAGATAGTTGTATATTTTTATTAAGCTATAACAGACACTGATAGACTTTTTTTTATGACTGTATGTAGACTTTTTTGAGTTAAAGATATGATTATGTTTTGTGTTCCCCTTGATTAAGAATAACTTATATAGATTTTATGTAAAATATGGAAATACTATGGACTTCTTGTTCTTACACTATGCTTCATACATGTTTTGTTAAAAAATTTCATTGAATTACATTTTGGGAGTTGGGATATTATCATTTTCCGGGCTGTATGTATACTTTATTGTATCACCGTATATAAATCGGTCATACTGTTGTTTTTTAAGACAAAAATTATTTAACTGAATAACTTACAACTAAGAACATAACCTTAAATAAATTCACATAACCTAGTACTTCATTTTTAAAACTTCATCAATAAACAAATTTCTGTCAATAATTTTTTTCGAACAATTACGTCGTTTAGAAAATAATGTACGCTTTAAAATTACCAGTGTTTAATTAGAAATGTTAAAATCACTCTTGGGCCGGTCCTGCTCTCTCAAATAGAATCCTAACCTAACAAAACATCAGGTGACTACAGTCCTCAAAAAGCAAAAGGAAAACCGAAATAAAGTAAGTAAAAGATGTTCGAACATTCAGTTAAAGTTCCCCGATTATATAAAACGGCCGCTAAAATTGCCAAAGAAGTCGTTGAAAATAACGGAAGCTTAAAAACATTGATTTATGATCAAAAACATGCGGTAAGTTTGAATAAAATTGAGGTTATGTTGTGTATTTTGATTTAATTTTTTTGCAGAATATCAAAGCTCTTTATGCGTTAACTTTAAATTGTATTAAATATGCTAAACAACTTGATGTGGCGTTAAATAAAACAGAAATGTTAACAAAAGAACCCCGTTTAGATGCCTGGCTGGCAAAGGTGTTGATTACGGAATTGTTATGGGGAAAAGGAAGGCTTCCCCCTGGGAGTAAACCTGTTGAAACCATACTTTCTTATCAATCAATGCTTAGTGATCTCACCTTTGCTTTAAAAGAGATTGATAGAAATCCAGTAACAGGTAATTTTTTTTTAATTTCAGAATTTTATTTTAAAAGTAAATGGAGGGTATGGAGCAGGAACAAGTTTTCGATGATCAACCACTTATTCCACAGCATACTAAACAGGCGGCTAAAGCTTTAGGATTACTTCTTTTTTATAGTCTTTTAATGTTCACTCTTCCCTTTGTTTCATTTTATGGAACTAAACATATTTTAGCAGAAAAATTTCAAATTGAGGGTTTTGAAAACGTCGCTTGGTCTGTTATTTCTTCTGTAGTTACTGTTTATGTCATTATTTTTCTTTATGCATATCAAGCGTATCATGACACTGAATATGATGAATTTGGTAATGAAATTGTAGAGGATCAAAATCAAACACATTCAAAAAACGATTGAAAATATATTTGTTCTCTTTTTATTTTGTTAGTTTTTATCTAGATTGTTTTTCATTCAGACTGATTCAAATTTATTATTGAAATTTATTCAGACTGTAAAATGCATTTAAAAGTGTGTTATTTAAGTTATTAGAAAAAGGTGAAAATGTAAATATACATTTTGTAAAAAAAAAAAAAAAATAATAAAATCAGTATTATTTTTAAGAAATTAGTTTTATTTTTCCTCATTTATCATTTATGTATATTTACATTTTTCTTTTTGTAGAACTGTTATTTCGAATATCTTTCTTAGTTTTTAGTTTTGACAATTATTTTTAGTTCCTAAACCAAGATATGTAAGAGTAAACACTTTGCTAATGTCTGTAAACGAAGCTGTAGACAGATTTCGTGATGATGGATGGATTCTTGTAAATTTTATGGACACAAAAAATTATGATGGGTTCCTTGACAAGGTGGCTAATTTACAACCAGATCAATTCATGGTTGATATACACATTAAAGAGTTGCTAATTTTTCCACCAAATACAGAATTCCATAACCATAAGGCGTACAAAGATGGATTAATATTCTTACAGGATAAAGTAAGTTTGACTTTTATTATATTGCTTATTTAGTTGGTTTATCATTATCTATTTAAATTCGTTAACGTAATTTATAAAAAAAAAGTAATAAAAAATATACAGGTGTCCCACGTAAGCGACAAAGTACAGTCAGAAAAAAAAGAGATGCTATACGACTTTCGTTCGTATAGGCCGTCCAAATTACATTTTCGGGGTTCATTTTACACAAGGTCTATAGAACATAAGGTTACCCAATTCCCTATGCCTCTGTAGTATCGATTATTACCCCGCAGAATGACGTCACTGGTTCGATACAGTCAGAGTAGAGTTGAGTAAAAGATAGCCTATACTGTGGTACAGTCTATATAAAATATTTAAACTTGGCATCATGTTGTGTTGTTCATCGAACCAGCTACGTCACCGACTTACCTTGCCCCTCAGAGGAGGAGAATCGGCATTGGGTAACCTTATGTTCTATAGACCTTGCATTTTACATACTGTATATGGGATTTTGTGTAATTTGGACGGCCTATACGAAAAAACGTCGACGCATCTCTTTTTTTTCTGACTGTACATGAATAGCCCAAGATACGCAGTTCTTCCTTAGACAAAAGTTGTAGAAAATTTCTCATACAGGTGTTCCACAACGACGTACTGAAATAAACATATGTATGTTATTTTAAATGGAATGATATAGTTTTTATTGCGTATTCTGATTCTACACAAAAAACTAAGTTGACTTTGATAAGACATGTTAATACCTACTGCTTTTAGTTATTTTAATTGGAAGCTTTTTTTAGCAATTAACACTGTGCCCTTCAAATCTGAATTTCTTGGCGACTGATCGAGCTAGAAAGTTAAAATTTGTAACAGTTGCTGCTTGAATATCCTTAAACGGCAAAAAAGTCGAAAATTTTAAGTGGAATACCCCATATTTGATTAGCTTATCAGATAGAGAATTTAATTCTCTACAAATCTTTAGTACATGTCCCTATACCTGTCTGTTGTAGTTTTTGAGATATTGTGTATCATGCAAAGTATGCCAGATCTTGTTCATTTTTTCATTAGAAGGCCATGAAATAAGACGATAAATAATTTTCAACCAAACTTTATTTATAACTGTTCAAATATCTTCTATCTGTGCTTTATGCATAGATGAAGCCGATTTACGAATTCGGCTTGCACATTATCTAGTGTTTCAGTAGATATATTTCTAAAGCTTTCCTTTATTCTATTCTTCATATCTTCTTTTGTCGTTGGAATATTAGCGTACCACTTGGGATTTGACATATCCCCAAAGGAACAAGTCGCGGGGAGTTAGATCAGGTAATCTTGCTGGCCACGGTATTGCACCTCCACGACCAATCGAATGTTTTCCATATCCAATATTTAAAATAGTATATTACAGTATAAGCGAGAAAACTATGATTTTTCATGAACCGACATACGCCGGATTTCCGGACATACAAAATCTTGCCTTTCATCTTTTTCAGGCGTGCTTGATAAAATCCTTGTACGTCCCTTGTGTCGACCTCTATATGATGGAGTTCTTGGTTTCGCATTGGGATATGCCATCGCGGATTCAGAAGTTGTGAATGTTACTTTTTTTAAAGCAGCTATTGATTTCAATGGTGGTGTGGTAAACGGTCAGTAACTGCAGATATCAGAAAATCAACAGCGGAAAATATATCGGGATTAAATGGGTGAACGCCAGTTTTTTGAAATCCGTATAAAATATTCTGTCTGGACATTGGAACATCGAAGGCAACTTTACTTAATCCGGCAATGTGGTATAAGGTTATAGTTATAGTTTTCCGGGGTTTGACATCATTCATGCAAAAGCTGTTGCATTGTAGCGCGCTTTAAATGGTCTAAATATGGAAACATCTAGCGGTTGTAGCCGGCTGTATGCCGTGCTTCTTAGCTAAAGAAATGATATCAATATTTACGTAACTTTCGTGGTTATCTAAGAAAATCAAACAGGGATTTTCTTTTGAAACTTTCGAATGTTTTATGAAATGATTTAAAGTTGATACAAAATTCTCTTTCGTCATCCATCCTAATTTATGAGCTAATCCCAAGCTATTTTCCGGCCCATTTATAAGCATGGGTTCACTTACTTTTATTCTTGGAAATACGAAAGCAGGGGTATTGTATTGCCGCTAGCATTAATGAAGCAATACATCGTTACTAGTGTTCCTCTTTCTGCGCTAGTCACTTGTTCCACTTGTTTTTGTCCTTTCGTTGCTAACACCTTTAGGGGTTTGTAGACAGTTGTAACGCCAATCTCATCACAGTTGTAAATATTTTCAAGAGGAAATTTAAACGTATCTAAAGGTGTGTCCAGACACTGCGCGGCATTCGAGCGCGGCAGCAGCGATCGACGCGATCCCTCAGTGGGGAAGAATTCAAAGAAACTCTTTCCTAACATTTCAACAATGATATTTTGCGGAATTCAGGATCTCATACGTCGTGGCTTTCACAGCTGGTTTTAATTGAAGTATAACTGGAACTAACACTATCACTAAAACCAACAGTAGACGTAGAACTAGAAACTTTTTTCCTGTTTCCTATCTTTTGAGACTATCGCATCTGTTGTCATCCTCTGGAAACAATTTCCGGCTTTGGCTAACACCTTGGTCTTATCAAAATCTATGGTGTGTCCCTTTTTGTAGTAATGCTCTGCGACTGCTAGATCTTATTTAGATGGACATCTCTTTCATGCTTTTTGATGCGGCACTCGATGTTACGTCCAGTTTAGCCAACATATACTTCCCATAACTGCATGATTGAGAAGTATGCATGTGAGAACGTGTTAAGGCGTGGGAATGAAAGGAGGCGTATTGGAGGAATGGTGAACTGTAGGAGAGGAGACAAAGGTTTAGGAGAGAATGGAGAAAGTATCAGAACAGGAGGGCAAGTGAACAGGATGTGGAGAATAACATTACATAGAGGCTAGGCAGGAATATAAACAGAAAATTATGAGGGCGACGAGAGCGGGTACAGAAAGGTTAGTGGTGAGAGCGATAGATAAAGGATGGAAGGAAGTGTGAAGAGTGGTGCAGGAAGAAAGAAAGTGTTGATGACGAACGAGGATGGTGAGGGGAGGTTCAAGAGCACGGAGGAGTTGATAGGCGATCTATTTCGGAAATACTTCCCGGAGAATATGTCGGAGTAGGATACAGTGATACAAGAGAGGAGGATATGTTGCGAGGTGGAATGAATGATGGAGTGAAGATTAGGGACAAGGAATTGGAGGGAATTATATCAAGCCTGGGAGAGGGAAAAGCGACCGACTGTGATGAAATCAAGGCAATCGTTGTGGAACATCTTTGGAGGTTTTTAAGTGTAAATGGAGAGGAGTCGTTTAATTATGTCTGAAGGAGGCAGCGTACCCGGAATAGCGTGGATACCAGAATCAAAGGGCTGGCTCAGACCGCTTTGTCTGGCCTCCCCCATAAGAAAGATTTGGACAGCGGAAAGATTTGGTGGTAGCGGAAGGAATTTTATCGTTCTTGGAGAAAGAGGGTGAATTGAATGAGGGATAGAGTATGGGTTCAAGAGAGGAAGGGCAATGGTACAAACATATAGGGACGTGGAAAACGCGTTTAATCCGGTATGGAGTGCTGATGTGATGAGGACTTTCCAGAGAGTGGGTTGTCCCAGCTACTTGATGTGTGTGGTGGCCGATTTTTTGAGGGATAAGTAAATGAAGTGCGAGGGTGCAGAATACCGGACAAACAGAGGATGTCCGCAGCGATCCAACTTTCAGCCGGTATTGTAGTTAGGCGCGATGAATGACTGGTTTAAGAGGGCCTGAATAGGACGAGGATGTTGACCTGGTAAAGGCGTAAACCGATATGTAAAAATAAAAAATTAAAAAAAATTAAAAGGAGATTTTTTTACTGAATATCAACACGGATATCGTAAGGAAAGATCCGTAGACATAGCAATACACGAGACTGTCAACTAAATATTACAGCGATAGACGAAAAGAAACTTGTAGAATTTGTAGGACTCGATCTGTCGAAGGCATTTGACAACGTTAATCACAAATTGCTCTTGGATAAGTTGTTTTATTACGGGATACGGGGCGTAGCCTTTGATATTCTAAATTCCTGCTTGGCAGCTAGGAAACAAATCGTAGTGATTAATGGTAGGAAATCGAATTTGACCGATATTCAGTTAGGGGTGTCACAAGTTCAGTACTTGGGCCTTTATTATTTATTATGCATCAGTATGCCATAGAAAAATATATTATATATATGTATATAGAAGCTTTACTCCCCACCATTATTTGGTCGAAATGAAATTCAGCGCCATTAGCGGAATGTACTAGTACTTCTTTCGATAAGCCGCGAAATTTAAATGGATAATTTTTATATAGTATAGTGGTTTTGTTTATTTGTTTTTAAATAAAAAAAAGCTACATTTATTAATTAAATATTTTTATTTAAAATTTACTTTATATAATAATATATATATTATAATAATAAAAAAGAAAATTAGATATCTAAAACAACAATGCATAAAAAAAAAATAGTAATAAATGTTGATGAACATTGCATTTTACTATTTCATTACCATACATCTCCAAAAGTTTCGGTGTTCACTCTATTTGGTCACAACCATCTTGAGTGGTTTGCCTTCTTTGTTCCTTTTTAAGGTTCCATTCACCGAGTCAAACACATTATCAAAAAATTTTAAAATTTGGGCAGTTTGACAAGCCTCTTTTGGCATAATAGTAATGATTGAATCTGTCGAACAAAACACTGATACTTGTTGAAAGTATAACCACGCATGCGCACTTTGTTTTGTGCAGATAATACAGATTGCAAATAGCGCTCGCAGCGCCATCTCTAGGTTTGTACTAGTACTACATATACGTATTCATTTTATAAGTATAAGTAAACACACCGTGCAGTATGCTTTGGATCATGGGAACCTTTGCCTCTACGTGGATGACATCGCCATCGTTTCAATTGGAGAATCGTCAGAAGATCTTCGAAATAACACTTGCGAATCGATGCACAATGCTAAACAATGGCTGCAAGACAAATATTAAACGAGGAGAAGACCCAAAAATCATGTTTAATAGAGGACATGAGAAGGAAGGATGTAAATCAATAAAATTTTTTGAGTTATATGTAGATGAGGAACTCAAGTGGTCTATCCACGTAAAGAACACTGCAAAAAAGTTAAACTGGGCAATTTACTGCATAAGGAGAATCAGAACTATTAGTACCTTTGAAGCTACTAAACTTACAGATTATGCTAGCTTTCACAGCCGAGCAACCTACGGTATCGTTTTCTGGGGAATGTCTTCAGCTGCAGAACGAATTTTCCTACTGCAGAAGCGAGCAGTGCGTGCACTTTTCAATCTAAAAAGCGTAGAAAGTTGCAAAGAATATTTTTTTTGCCACCAGAAAGAAACTGTCCAAATTAACAAAAAATGTTGATCAACACGACTATCCAACCAGACAAAAAGACGATCTACATATTCCACGTCACCGCTTAGCGAAGACACAAAAGAACGCTGACTACTGGGGCATGAAATTTTACAATCACCTGCCGCAGTTAGTTAGACAGTTGCCGCTGAAAAAATTGAAAATATACCTCAGAACATATCTTAGGCAAAATGCCTTTTATACCATAAATGATTTTTTTTTTAAACCTGTTGCATAGCATTAAATTTTTTTTGTTTCTTCTTTGACGTATTGTAAACTTTATTTTACACTCAATAAATTATTATTATTATTATTATAGCCATTATATTCCCAAACTGTGACATTTTATCATTGATGAGCTTGATTAAATTCCTCAATTAAAAAGATTAAGGAGCTGTTGCAGCTGGTAACTACTCCTATAATGCTAGATTTCCATGATTCCATGATTTCGTTAAAGTTTTTTACCACATTTTTTTAAAGATTTCTTTTTATATCATTTATGTTGAATCATTAGCAACTGTTATCTTAAATAGATATTGATAAACCAGCCATGGTACCTTCTATATAAATGAGTTCAAATGCGATTGGGGTTTGTGGTCAGAAAACAATAACACTATTGCTTCAAATTTTGGCTTAAATTTCATTACGCTTGTTTTGAAATAAACACGTCGTGTTTGACTTCTATAGTTTCTATATACCATAACTTATGATTTCATTCTTTTTTAAGGCAAGTTGTTTAGCTGTACACCTTCTGGATCCAAAACCGGAAAATACAGTTTTAGACTTATGCGCAGCACCCGGAATGAAAACTTCTTACGTTGCCTGTAAAATGGAAAATAAAGGAACAATTTACGCTGTTGATGTGAATTCGAAACGTTTAGATATTATCGAGGAATTGATGAACAAATCCGGCATAAACTGTGTTGAATTGATGCACAAAGATCTGATGACTGTGAATGAATCCTGTTGTCCGAATGTCGAATATATTCTTGTAGATCCAACTTGTTCGGGAACTGGAATGACCGATCGATTTGACGCACCGAAAATAGATGAAGTGGACAAAAGTCGAATAGAACAATTATTTGGTTTCCAAGTGTTAGCGTTAAAACGTGCTCTTAGGCATTTTCCCCACGCAAAACGCGTCGTTTATTCAACGTGTTCTTTGATTAGCGACGAAAACGAACGAGTCGTTCGCGAAGTTATAATTAATTGTAGCGTTTTTAAATTGGTCGACCTTCGAACATTGATGCCATATTGGAAAAATTTTGGAAGCGATGAGTATGGAGAAATCGGGAAAAGATGTTTGTACGCTAGACCAGAAGATGATCGAACGAATGGATTTTTCGTTGCCGTTTTTGAAAGGTTGAAACCCGGTGAGATTAACGAATTCTTAGAACGTAATCAAATAAAAGATGAAGAAGTTAAGGAAAAAACTAACACACTTAAGAAGGATAGTTTACAAAAAGAGAAGAAAACTAAAAAGTCTTCTTCGAATATCGATTCTGTTTCAAACAAAAGTGAAGTAAAACGAGCTGAGAAAAAAGCCAAGAAGAAAAAGACGGGAACAAGTACAGAAAATGAAATAGAATCGGTTCAAGAGAATTCATTGACTAACGGAGTAACAAATAACGAAGAAGAAAAAGATTTATCTTCTACAACTAAAAAGAAAAAATCAAAAAAACGACACAGCGAAGATGAAAATTCAAAACTTGACGATGAGAAGAAGAAGAAGAAAAAATCGAGTAAAACTGTAAAATCTAAAAAAGATTCAAAAGAACGTGTCGAAACTGTTAAAAATGAAGAGGATTCCAAAGAAAATGATAACAAAGGTGGTGATGAAGACAATCTGGGCCATCAATTAAGAGAAGCCGTCAATAATTTATTCGATGGCCCACAAGCTTATAAATTAATCGAAAATAAAATGAAAAAGAAAAAAAAGCTTTTATCAGAAAACAAAATTTCGGTTCCAATTAAAGAAAATATTGAAGAAGAAACTAAAGAAGAAGTGAATGAATCCGTTAAGAAAGAAAAGAAAGCAAAGAAAACCTCCCAAAACCAAGAAATTTCCGACGATACTAAAAGTATTAAGAAGAAGAAACCAAAAAATGATGAAATCAAAAATAAAAACATTGAAAGTGTTGACGATGATGTTAAAGAAACATTACGACGAAAAAAGAATTTAGCGAAAAAATCAATTGATACGTTTTTAATGAGTCACATCGCTTTAGGAACTGATTCTGAAGAAGCGAATTCATTGAAAAAAGATGAAGATGGATCACAAAAGAAGCACAAACGAAAGAAAATTGAAAACTTGCAAGATGAAACTCAAAATAACGTTAGTGAAGATTCAAAAATTGAAGATACAAGTGTAAGTAATATTGAAAGCGATCCACTTAAAGAAATGAAAAAGAAAAAGCGACGATCATCAGCAATGGAAGAATCTAACAATGAGTCAGTTAATGAAAGTAGTAAAAAGAAAGTGAACGATACTAGTTTTAGTGATAATTTGTTACCCGTTTCGAAAAAAGACGGTTCATCAAAGAAAAAGAAAAGTAAAACTTCAAAGGAAGAAGTTGGTTTGGTGAATGATGACAAATCTGAGCATGAAGTAAAAAAAGGAAAGTAGGATATGGAAGTAAACGAAAAAGTTAAACGAAGAAAACTTACTGAAATATTTGAATTAACTGAATTGATACTTTCTAATGAAAAAGGGATGAAAAACCCTAAGAAAAAAATTAAGGAATAAAACAAAAGGATTTTAATATTTTTGATAAATAGATTTTGAAGGAAGAGAGAAAATATGATGTAGGAGAGGATTTGAAGAAATAAAACAAATAAAAATGAGAAGGAAAGTATTGGCCCATAATTTGTTTCAATAAATTAATAAAAACAATTTTTGTTTCATTAAAAATCATAACCTAAATTTTGATTTTTTTATTTGTATTGGCAGAAGGTTTAGGTGTAATATTATACGCGCAATACAATAAAGGCAGGAATTTATACCTAATACGTATTAAAACATCTAATAAGTTATACAGGTGTCCGGAAATTGCTTCTATATATTTAAAGAGGTGATTCTACAGCAAAAATCATGAAGAAAAGTTAAAGTCCGGCCCGAAAATGCTTCCTAATCTCTTTAAAATAACACTCAAAAAGTCCAAGGGGGCGCTTTTAAGGTACCATATTTTTTTATCTTTATTTTTCTGCCATTGATTGATGCAATAATCAATTCTGCTGAAAAAAAATACATAAAAAAGGTACTACTTAAAAATTTTTCTAAAACAAGTCGTTTCCAAGAAAAATTGCATTAAACGATTTGCGGCATAAGTAAAAGTATTCTGCCTTCTTTTACATTACAATTTTGAATTCAAATTGCTATTAAAACTCTCAAAATGGTTGAATATCCATTCGAAAATAATACTAATATCCATTTTATGTATGGTAAGGCCAATGGAAATGCTCGAGAAGCTCGGAGGTTGTATGCAGAAGCGTATCCGAACGTAGAATTTCCTTGTGAACAACCTTTCCCGTCAGTTCATAGAAAACTGTTTGGCACAAAATCTTTTAAAGCTGATCGGGTGAATTGTGGAAGATCACGATCCACCAGAACCGCAGATATTGAAGAAAGGATATTGGATGCAGTAGACTAAAATCCTTTGGCTAGCACCAGAAGGTTGTCCGCCCAAGAAAACGTACATTGCCTTTTGGGAAATACTGTGGGAACAGCTACTGCATCCATATCACCTCCAAAAAGTGCACGCTTTAGAATCTATGGATATGGAACCACGAGTACATTTTTGTGAGTGCATTTTATTTACGGATGAAGTTGCGTTTACTCGGGATGGCGTCCTAATTTTCCACAACAGACACGTTTGGGCAGATGAAACCACATGCTCTATGGTAAGAAACCACCAAGATTTCCTTTCTTCAATATCTACGGTATTTATATTTAAATTAAGCAGTTATAGTTATTATGTTGGATTATGTTGGATGTTTTATTATCCACTCCAACGCGGTAAAACCATTCCTTACAGATCGCAACAAATTTCAGCGTTACTGCTTAGCAATTATATGACAAACTTCATTCATGTTGATGAGAATGGTTTTATTTAAAGAAAACATCGAACAAGTACTACCTTGCTAACGACAAGATAGAAATACCTAATTTCCCATCAAACATGCAAAAATAAGAGATTCATCACAAAGGTTATATTTTTGGTTGCAGTTGCTAGTCCACGGTGGGACTATTACCGTAATCAGTGGTTTGATGGGAAATCAGGCATTTGGTCATTTTTAAAAATAGAATCAGCCAATCTTTCTGGAGACGAAGGTCATTACTATTATTATTATTAAAATCCATGTTGCGAGATTAATTATTAAGAATTAGATACAATAATGTTTTTTAAACTTCAGTTTCTCGCGTTTATTTTAAATTTCCTCGATACCGGTTTCGACACTATATTAGGTCATCATCAGCCGAATCTACAAATTAATTGAATTACAAAAAATCCTGTTTAAATGAGAATAATTAAAACTAGCAAAAAATAAAAATCGGATAAAATATATAATTTTACAAACTTACGGTCAAGAATAAACTAATTTAAAATTGGAAACATCTGTTTGGTCATTAGAGATAAAATTTCACACGTAACTAACAATTTTAAAAATATTTTCTCGAAAAAGACAACAGTCGACACGAGACATGAAACATGAATAAAGAACTCAATACAATAATACAAGTTATGAAATGCGTTTTTTAAAGAACGGGTTTGAGAAGAAAAGAATTTAACAATTCGCCGTTTCAAAAATCTTTTAAACATTTGAATAGGGGTGAAGGTCACTAGATCTGTGACCGAGAGTGTGTACAGAAATATGAATTGAAGCTAAATGCCTTCGGTCTACATACTGCCCTCGGACTTTTATAAGAATTTCAATTAAGCTGTTAGCGTGTTAAATTTTGCTAATACTCTAATAAACATGTGTAAATGTTTCAACTTCCTGACAGTTCTGACACTAATGAACTAGATCTCGCGGTTTTCAATGCCATACAGACACTTCAGTACCAAACTGATGCTTCCAATATCGATTTATGTCGTAATATACTGAATAAGGTCTTCCTATCACATAAGCAATGCATGACAGAAATTATGAAGGTAAATGGCGGAAACAATTATAAATTACCCCATTTAGACAAAGACAAACTAGTTTGACTAGGACAGTTACCACTTTGCCTCGTCGAAGCGGCTTAGGCAAAAATTATTACTACGCGCATGCGGCGTATTTTCTTTGAACTTTTTTGCAAATTTTTGTCTAAAGTCTAAATTTGTCTATAATGAAAACGTGACATACTACGTGTTTTGATGTGGGATTTGTCATAAACGATTTCAAGCGCAGTAGTACTTATTACTATGTATTAATATCATTTTGAAATAATATCTCACATAATAGTTATTTATATTACAAGTGGGCTGGAAACATAATTACTGTATGAGGGTGGAGAATTGCACGACGAGGTCGTAGACCGAGTCGTGTAATCACACGAGTCAACAACATGTTTACTCATCTGGAATGAGTGTTTCGAAATGTAAAAACATAACAATTAATGTTTATAATAAATAGTATTGTTTCTCTGTAAGTAGATAGCACTTTTTCGTTTGTATTGTTGCTCGTTTCAATAAATTAAGTCTGTTCNCACAACAGACACGTTTGGGGGGATGAAACTACATGCTCTATGGTAAGAAACCACCAAGATATCCTTTCTTCAATATCTACGGTATTTATATTTAAATTAAGCAGTTATAGTTATTATGTTGGGGTAATCGGGCTATATGTGGTTATTCCGGCACCTTGTTTTTCAACGTTTGACAATTAACTAGCATATGTAAATTGCGTTTCAGATATCTACTTAGCATACACTAGTACAAGCAATGTTTGAGTTGTCTTTGAGTTTTAATCCAAATCAATTTGAAAGTCTATGTTAAAATTGCTATAAAACAGCGAAATCTTTTCTTGAAAGTAAAGTTATAATTTTGAATTGTGGTTATTTCGCGAATCACACTAAAGTTTATAAACATTGGCAGATTGGAAGGTAGCCATAATGGCAGATCATTGAGTCAAATTAACATCCATAGCTGTTAAATAATATAATTAGTGGGCTTTGTTAATATAATAAGGTTTCCTAAAAATTCCTATTTTTAATACAATCAGTCCGTCCCAAAATAAGTGTTCGATTTCGCGAAACTTACCAACTTTGCGAAATATAAGTTACAATGTTGTATTCCATCAACTGACTTAGTTAAAATTGATATTTATATGTTGTCAAAAAATTTTAACGCATTAACTTGACTATTGAGTAGTTACTTAAAAATCTTGGGTCGTCTAACTATACTTTCTTTTCTCTCTCTTTCTCCTATGATTGTGGCCGAGGTTTGTGCGAGTGTGTGTAAAAATACCGGAGTGGTCACATATTGTAACATACATAATGTATATAATGTGCATAATTCGCGGAAACCTGGAAAAGTTGGCAGGAAGCAAAAAATAGTAGTACTAGTACATGCTATTGGAATGTCGAAAAGCACAAATCACCAAAGTATTAAATCTGGATTGATTAAGCTCCACTCCAACGCGGTAAAACCATTCCTTACAGATCGCAACAAATTTCAGCGTTACTGCTTAGCAATTATATGACAAACTTCATTCANGTATTGTTGCTCGTTTCAATAAATTAAGTCTGTTCTGATTAGGCTAAAAATGCGTTACGTAATGAAACCAGTGCGGTAATGAACTTCATTACGTAACTCAAATCACCTCAAATGAGTGCGGTAATGATGACTTATCCAAGCAGTCGTAGATAAAGAAATTTAACACATTGACTACCAACTACGAAATAGGTTGTTTACTTGCCTAGGACTCCAACTTTGAGTTATCTCGTAGCTTCTTTACTTACGCTGTTTGTACAGCCACGAGGAAAGTCGTAGTATAACAGTATTAATATGAATAGATGGATTATTAAAGCCTTGTTACAATTTGTTCAAAAATTTATACAAGATGAAGCAGAACAATAATTTTAATTATTAAGACAATCCTTCACGCGCGCCAGTTTGTCTTGGCAGATTGCACTGATGGTACGCGTTTCGCGGCGTTTATTATTAGTTTTCGTACAAATTCAACATGACTCTGTCGAATGCTGTTTCTATTTTGATAGGTGAAATATTCTGTAAATTTGAGAAGAATTGGGCAACACTGCTATTTCAACAACATGCATATTTGGAATGGTAAGGACATCTCGCTTGTCTTTTCATTTATATACAGTTACAGGATGATTTCTCACATTTCTGGGTAATTTTATTTCCTTTTCTGTTATTTCGTTCGTGAATTATCTTGTTTTGCAATTTCTTGTGCAGAATATGAAATATGAATATGAAAATGTGTTTATGTTTGGAAACGACTTCATTATCTCGTTACAATCCTTGCTGAAAATCTCGTCAGGTTCAGAATTATTTAGATTAGCCCGGTACTCAAATTATTGCTTTCAGTAAGAGGTCTTTTCTTATTCATAATTGAATTATAACATTTTATAATTTAATTATAAACTAACGATTGAAGCGTGTTTTTGCATGAATTATTTCGTAGTTGGCTTGCTGTGAGATAATTCTTTTTATTCTTCTTTCTCTTAGACCTGTCGGTCTATTAATTTGTAGTCGTTGTCAGAGGACCTGTGGGAGATGGACTGCCTGCTGTCCTGCTATCTTTTTGGCAGTATTCCTGGTGGACGACCCCTCTTACTGGTTGTCCCTCCATTTCTTTACATGGCTGTACTATTCGTTTCTTCACTGTTTGCCCCATCGTATATCATGTTGTTCCTGGATGTTAGTGTTTCTTATTTTGACTCTT